ACCATTATTGATTATAAACTCACTGTGGACCCTGCAAAGTACAAATTGGTTTTGAGGGAAAATGTGGTTGGAATAGATTTCAGCGTTCACTTTGTGCCTGCTATTTTCTGTGACACTTGGTTCAGTGAGGGCTGGGATCTATGGGAGACCAGTAACTTCCTCTGGGCTGCCTAAAATGGCCTGTATGGAAATCACCTAGAATGAAAAAGCACAGCACGCTGGTAAGCCATTGTGAATTATTTGACAATGTTGGTGTGCTGAAGGAGCTCGATGGTTGCTTTCCTTAGTATTAAAGTAGCCTTGCCTTTTGGGTTTTACCTGTAGCAGATTGTGTTATTGCCTACTGATTTCCAAGCTTATTGCAAGGATTGAAAATGTTCTTGTGCTTTTTTAAAAGATATATTTATTTTTAGAGGGAGGACAGAGGGGCAGAGGGAGAGGGAGCAAATCCTCAAGCATACTCCCTGCTGAACGGTAGCCTGACTCGGGGCTCAGTCCCAGGACCGTGAGGTCATGACCTGAGCTGAAACCAAGGGTTGAATGTTTGAACAGCTGAGCCACCCGGGTGCCCCAGGATTGAATATATATTTAAAGCGCTGAGAGGTTTGCTATAGATACTTGTTTACTTTCACTAGGATTTATGTTAAGATGAGGATAGGCAAAAAAACAATATTCTTGACAGTATTAAAACTGATACAGATAGTTTTCACATTATTGTTGATTTATCAGTTGGAGCAATCAAAAAGAAAACAATCCAGATTCATTTTTCTGTTGTCTTTAAGTGGCTTGGCTAGAGCAAGTGCCTTCCCCATATCCTTATACTCTGTATATTGGAAATGTAAATGGAAGAAGGAATTCTTGAATATAGGAAGAAGAAAAGCATATAAAAAGGAAGGAAGGATGGGGGATCTTCTGGCTACCATGTTAGAAATGTTGGGATAGTCAGGGTGATTATGTCCTCCTTACTGAAGAAGAATCAGTAATGGTAGACCTAGGAAAGGTTAAAGTTTGAAAATGTGACTGGGATTTTTTTTGACAAGTGTATTAGAAGTTATAGTGCACGTGAGGGGAAGGGGCATCTACATTTATTTTGATGGTGTTGCCCTTGCTCTATGGAATTCATCTTTTGGAATTCTCTTCTGAAGCATATAAATCAAGTATAGTAAGGAAGGGAACTAAGGATATCTTTTTTCTTTTCTTTTTTAAGATTTTATTAGGGGTGCCTGGGTGGCTTGGGGTTAAAGCCTCTCTCTTCGGCTAAGGTCATGGTCTCAGGGTCCTGGGATCGAGCCCCCCGCATTGGGCTCTCCTCTCCATTCAGCAGGGAGCCTGCTTCCATCTCTCTCTCTGCCTGCCTCTTTGTCTACTTGTGCTGTCTCTCTCTCTGTCAAATAAATAAAATCTTCTAAATAAATAAATAAATAAAAGATGTTATTAATTTGAGAGAGAGCATGAATGGTGGGAAGGGGCAGAGGGAAAGGGAGAAGCATACTCCCTGCTGAGCAAGGAGCCCTTTGTGGGGCTCAGTCCCAGGACCCTGAGATCATGACCTGAGCCAAAGGCACACACTTAACTGACTGAGCCACCTGATGATGTCTTTTATAAAAACAAATTCGCTCAGCTGCAGTACCCCTGAGGCTACTGATAGTGGCTGGTATTGATGACTGCCATACCTCAGCCCAGGGGCTGCTCTGTTGCACCCCCCCATCCCCCGTGGGCAACTTCACCAAGGCCACTTTTGATGCCATTTCCAAGACTTCAGCTACTTCACCCCCGACCTCTGGAAAGAGACTGTGTTCCCAAGTCTCCCTATCAGGAATGCCCTGACTATCTTGTAAAAACCCATGCCAGAGTCTCTATACAGAGGATCCAGGCTCCCGCTATGGCCACCACATAGTTTTATACAAGAAAAATGATAGTGAATTAAAACTTGTTAAAACAAACAAACAAACTCGTTAGAAATTGTCAGTGAAAATACCCTCACCCCAAATCTATCTAAAAATATTTTGACCAGTGATGGCATTATTGAAATAAGTGAAAAGTCTACCAAAATTAGGTCTTCTTTTGGCCTTTGAGCTGGGACTTCAGGCAGCAAAGGTGCTAGGTAAGGGTGTTAGGAGTTTTGGGGACATGGAAAAGATATCAGGTATCCCTCAGTGTTTTCAACCCAAACGTAACCTGGCGTGTTAAATCTAGCTCTCTGCTGGTAACAGTCATTTTTATTTCCTTTAATTTTTATTTTTTATGACTCATTCCTGCCCCTTTCTTGACCCCCATTCCCAAAAGACCTTTCCCCAATATCTAATTTTAAATTCCAGGTTTGGTTGTTCATAGCACATCCTAGGGTGGGGCCGCTGCGTTTACCCTCGCCTCTACCGCGCCCATACTGTGTACATATTCAAGAAATTTGAGCAAAATTTGACACTGGCTAAAGTAAATGCGCTAGAAGGTAAATTTGCAGCAGGAGCAACATGTTATCTTTAAAAAAAAAAAAAAATTGTGGGCACCTGAGTGGCTCAGTGGGTTAAGCCTCTGCCTTTGGCTCAGGTCATGATCTCCGGATCCTGGGATCGAGCCCCACATCGGGCTCTCTGCTCGGCGGGGAGCCTGCTTCCCCCTGTCTCTCTGCCTGCCTCTCTGCCTGTCAAATAGATAAATAAAATCTTTAAAAAATTAGCTTGTGAAATATTCATATACTGTAAAACTCACCCATTTAAATGTATATAATTAATTGGCTTTTTAGTATATTCACAGTTGTACAAATATCACCATTCTTTAATTCCAGAATATTTTCATTGCTCCTGAAAGAAACGCAGACCATTAACTGTCACTTCCTATTCCTATTCCTTTCCCCAGTTCCTGGCAACTATTAATCTACTTTCTGTCTTTATGGATTTGTCTTTCTGGACATTTCTTTTGTTTTGTTTTTTAAAGATTTATGTATGTATGTATGTATGTATGTATGTATGTATTTGACAGAGAGAGAGAGAGATCACAAGTAGGGAGAGAGGCAGGCAGAGGGAGAAGGGGAATTAGGCTCTCCGCGGAGCAGAGAGCCCGATGTGGGCCTTGATCCCAGGACCCTGAGACCATGACCCAAGCTGAGGGCAGAGGCTTAACTCACTGAGCCACCCAGGCGCCCTATTCTCGAGATTTCATGTAAATAAAATTATATCATCTGTGGAACCTGGTCTGTTGCATTTGGCTTCTTTCACTTAGCGTAATGTTTTTAAGATCCTTCCATGTTGTAGTTACATGTCAGTATTTCATTTCTTTTTATGGCCAAGTAATATTCCACTGTATAAATACACAACGTCAGTCAGTTGACATTTGGGTTAATGCTGCTATGAATATCTGTGTACCAAGTTTTTGTGTGGACATAAGTTTTAAATTCTTTTAGATACGTACCTAGGAGTATAATTGCTGGTCGTAAGATAACTCTATGTTTAATATTTTGAGGAACTTCTGAGCCATTTCCCAGAGTGGTTGTACCATTTTACATTCCTGCCAACAGTGTACAGGGGTTCTAGTTTCTCTACATTCTCACTCTCACTTGTTATTGTCCACCTTTTTAAATTTTTTTATTTTTTTTTAAGATTTCATTTATTTATGTGAGAGAGAAAGAGTGAGCAAGATAGGGCATGAGCAGGGGGAGGGGCAGAGGGAGAGGGAGAAGCAGACTCCCTGCTGAGCAGGGACCGCCCCCCCCCCTCCGAGGCTGGGCTCCATCCCAGGACTCTGGGATCATGACTGACTGAGCAACCCAGACACTGCCCCTATGGTCCACCTTTTGATAATGGCCATCCTAGTGCTTGTGAAGTGATGTCTCATTGTAGTTTTAATTTCCATTTGCCCTAATGACTGATAGTGTATATCTTTCCATGTGTTCATCGGCCATTTGTATATTTTCTTTTCTTTTCAAGTTTTATTTGAGAAATCTTTATACCCAACCTGGGGCTCAAACTTAATGATCAAGAGTCCCATCCCCCCGCCTTTTCTTTAAGATTTTATTTATTTATTTGTCAGAGAGAGCACAGGTGGGAGGAGTGGCAGGCGGGGGAGAAGCAGGCTCCCTTGTGAACAAGGAGCCAGATACAGGACTCCATCCCAGGACCCTGGGATCATGACCTGGGCCATAGGCAGACATTTAACCAATATGCCACCCAGGCATCCTGAGCCATATCTTCTTCTGACTGAGCCAGCCCAGCACCCCTGTATATTTTCTTTAGGGAGATGTTCTAAAGCCAAATATTGATGGTCTGCTATTTGGAATGCTATTATTTAGGTTAACGTTCTTCTTTTATCGGATGTAAAGAAGTTTTTGCTTCATTGATTCAAATTAATTCATTAATTCAAATGTTCTTAAAGATGATTTTAGAGAGCTATTGTAGAGAGGCACCTGAGTGGCTCAGTTGGTTAAGCATCTGCCTTCGGCTCAGGGTCCTAGGGTTGAACCCTGCATCTAGCTCCCTGCTCAGTGGGGAGCCTACTTCTCCCTCTGCCTCTACTCCCCTCCCCGCCAACTTGTGCTCTCTCTCTAGCTCTCTCTCTCTCTCTCTCTCTCAAATAAGTAAACCTTTTAAAAAAAAAAGAAGAAAGAAAATGAAAACTAATGTAGATACTGCTCTTTACCCTATGAAAATACTGTATTTTGTATCCTGACCTGAAATGTCTATGAAGACAGTTGGTCCCCAATCTTTAGTGGACCCTATGGTTATATTTCTATTGTAAATTTATATCTCTAGGGTCAATGAGTTATCAGAGGTTAAATTCACAAGTAGGGAACCAGTGACTCATCAAAATTTTGTTATGCTCTGTACATTCTGAGGACATAAGCTGACCTTTAGTTGAGAGGAAGATCTATAAGACAAGGAGAATTGATGTTTGACATAATAACTGAAGTTGAAAGTACATGACATTGAAGTGTGCACGTGTTCTTGGGCTCTTTTAGATAGGCATGAAAAGTACATGATTTGATCCTTATGTCCCTCTCTCCGCAGCGTGGTACCATGCGACGACGCTATGAAGATGATGGCATCTCAGATGATGAAATTGAAGGGAAAAGAACTTTTGACTTGGAAGAGAAACTCCACACCAATAAATATAATGCAAATTTTGTTACTTTTATGGAGGGAAAAGGTCAGTATCATTTTGGTTCAGGGGACCTATAGTCCCTTGATGTAGGAGGTTGTAGATTCTGGGAACTGTGGGCTCGGAATCTGTGCAGCTAAATATTGCCCATTGATGTTGTGATGCTGTTTATTTTCTCTTATTCTACAATGCCATTCAACACACAAACACACACAACCCCATCCCCTAATCCTCCCACCCTGTGAGTCATTCCCTGCTATATGAGAAGAAACAAGCCTTTATTAGGGCCAGAAGCATTGTTGGAGTTTTTCCCTGAAGTCCTTTCCCTTCTTCCATCCCTTGCTTTGGGGTTAATTAAAAATAGTACAGTAAAAATTCATTTATGCATGCATCCCCTCTCCCCAAACAAAACAGAGGTGGGATTCCATGTGTACCATGGGCTTTTTTGCTCCTTGGCAAAGTGACAAGGATGTTATGGTATGTATTGTAGTGGACAGAATTAAATTTTTTGGCTTTTAAGAGACAGGGTGATGATAATTTCTGCTTAGGATTTAGAAGGTAACTCAATTATAGTACTACCCCCTGTTGGTTAAATTCCGTTTACTATGTAAATATAGACTTAGCAAACCCCTTGAGCCCTGCCTGTCAGGATGCTTTTCCTGTATCCTGAGAGATGCTTTTTATAACAAGCATGTATCTAACAGAGCGAAACTATATACACAGAAACAGCAAACACTATCTCTACCTTATTACTTAGGATCTTTTTTTATGGTCCTTTCATCTTTTTCCAACTGTACCTCTTGCCTTCTAATAATTGTTTTCTTATGGTGACAGATTTTAATGTAGAATATATCCAGCGGGGTGGCTTAAGAGACCCTCTGATTTTCAAGAATTCTGATGGACTTGGAATAAAGTAAGTACTGTTGGCCTGATTTGTTAGGTTGCAAAATGATCATGTTACACCAGGGCTATAGACAATGCCATGTTGATAACCCAAAGCAGTAGATAATTGAAAATAATCCCCCATTTAGATTTTAAAAGTGTGTCTTTTTCTTCTTTTGTTACAAAAACAGTTCATGGTTGTTCTAGTTAAGTGAGAAAATACAGGTGAGCTAAAAAGAAATAATTTTAAATCTCTTAAAATCTGTTACCCTCAGATATTGTTTTTTATATATTTAAAACATATTGTTTTTTATATATTTAAAATATATTGTTTTTAAACCTAAATATAAGATTTATGTGTCTCAGCTTAGGAGTTTTTAGTACTCTTAAGAAAAAACTCACACTGACTAGAGAAGGTGTGCTTCCTATTTACACTTACTGGTGTTTGTTTCATAGGATGCCAGATCCAGACTTCACTGTGAATGATGTCAAAATGTGTGTGGGTAAGTATTGAGCTTTGTGGCCTTTGTGTCTTTTAGGCAAAGATTTAAGACTTGGGACTGAATTCTAAATTTCTGACTGAGGTTTAAGGCTTAGGAACATGGAAGTACATGATTGAGGTACCCCATTTGAAGTAGTTTTTTTATAGAACACTGCTCTTAGCAACTTTGAGAATTTTCTCAAAGGGAGTTTATAAAGTTGCTTCATTTAGTACTCATTAGGCATAGAACTCTATTTCTCTCCTACCTACTGTTTTATCACTCTCTGTCCCTCCCTCTCTCCATGAAGAGCCTGTTCCAGGATATTTTATACCTCTGAACCAAGAATGAAACTCATTCATATCTGTGATTCTCTTCCGTTCCCTAAAAACAGTAGAGAAATTTCCTGGAAATTTTCACCAATGCTACATTTGGTAACTTGGTCAACATTTAAAACTTTTTAAGCTGAAGCGTGGAACTCTTGAACTGGGGGTTGTAGGTTCGAGCCCCGTGTTGGGTGGAGAGATTTCTTAAAATTGATCAGTCAGTGTAAGCTAAGAAATAGAAATATATTAAAATTTCTCTTTATCAGTGACTGGTTAACTTGTCTTTCGTCTGATTTATATTTTATTCAAAATTGAGGAAAAGAAAGGAAATTAGATCAGTCTAATTAAAGAAAAAAACTTCCTGTGTTGGTAAAAATTCAGGTCAATTTTTTTTGTGCAGACCATTTGGTGTTCAGTGCAGCCCTGAGACTCACCAGGAAGGATCCTTAGGAATTCAGGCATGGTCACTCTCCTATACACATTAAAGCAGTAAAATGGTTTAAAACCTTTTGGAAATGTTTCAGACAGGTCATGAAACAGAAGGAGGTTTTTCTAATGCTTTCCTCCCCACATTACTTTTTGTTAAGTTTTGTCCTCTATGTTGAAGTTCCAGTGCATACTCTTGCTTTGGAAATTAAAATTGCAGTACTGTCTCTTAGCCACTTGAGGGCTCTTTTTAGATGGTTGGATAACTTCTGTTTTTCTAAGAGGCGAAAGTCCCAGATAACCCAGGTAGAGGAAGGTTCTCTAATTCCCTCTATTTTTCACTCCCTTACTATTTCTTTGTTAGATTCCAGCTATCTGCCTGTCACTGTGTATTTCCTAGTTCCTAGCACAATCTCTGGAGTATAGTAGGTACTCAGTAAATCTGTTGAGTAATTAAAACGCTTTCCCACTCTTCAAATAAAGGATAGCTTGTTTCCTTCCACTTTTGTTTTATATTCTTAATATATTAAGGATAATAGTGGCTCAGTGGAGATGATTGATACATCTTTTGTGGCAGGGAGTCGTCGCATGGTGGATGTCATGGATGTGAACACACAGAAAGGCATTGAAATGACCATGGCTCAGTGGACACGCTACTATGAGACCCCAGAGGAGGAGCGAGAAAAACTCTATAATGTTATCAGTCTAGAGTTCAGCCACACCAGGCTGGAGAACATGGTGCAGAGGCCCTCCACGGTTAGTCTAATAATTTTTTCCACGTTTTCATTGTCATTAAGAGGGTTGTTTATACAATGGGAGAATGGGAGAATCTGTAACTTTTTATACATACCAAGATGAAATTGATAAACAAGACAATTTGATAATAACCTTCATTTTTAGGAAGTTCATTTTTTAAAATCACTTAATTTTATATGGGGAGGGGCCATTTAAATTTTTTTTTTTTTTAAGATTTTATTTATTTATCAGAGAGAGAGAGAGACAGAGAGGGCATATATGCAGAGGGAGAGGGAGAAGCAGACTCCCTGCCAAGCAGGGAGCCCGATATGGGGCTCGATCCCAGGACACTGGGATCATGACCTGGGCCGAAGGCAGACGCTTAACAACTGAGCCACCCAGGCGCCCCGGGGAGGGGCCGTTTAGTTCTGATCACCAGTAACCTAATTTAAGAATAACATTGGTCTTTGCATAGAGTGGAGAAGTGTCTTAAAATTCACTCTTAAAAGACTTGCTGAAAAGCTTGAGGGAAAACTAGTTTAGAGGCAAGTGATCATTTTTATGAGATGGTTTCTGGAGCAGATTCCACTAGATGGCTAGTAACTGACAAACCATCCTAAGGGAAAGTTGTTTGTTTTTGAACCTTCACTCTCCTGAAGGTGGACGCTGATTTAGCTCATCCCTTTGCAAGGAGTAGCGATCTACAGAATGTTGAAACACTTCACTTTTGAAATATGCCTAGTCATTTTTGATCTCAGAACTCACTTGAGTTACATACTAGGTATGGAATTGCAGAACTAACAGTATTCTAATAATTTGTTTTGTTTTGTTTTGTTTTAAGATTTTATTTATTTGACAGCGAGAGAGTGAGAGAGAGAGAACAAGCAGGGGGAGTGGCAGGGAGAGGGAGAAGCAGGTTCCTGCAAAGAAGGAAGCCTGACGTGGGGCTCAGTGCCAGTACCTTGGGATCATGACCTGAGTTGAAGGCAGACGCTTAACGACTGAGCCACCCAGGCGCCCCTAATCATTTGTTTTGAAGTCAAGATCTTGAGTGCCTGAGTGGCTCAGTCAGTTGGGCATGTGCCTTCAGGTCAGGTCATGGTCTCAGGGTCTTAGGATCAAGCCCTACACTGGGCTTCCTGCTCAGTGGGGAATCTGCTTCTCCCTCTTCCTCTGCCCCTCCCCACTGCTTTTCCCCCACTCCCCCAACTAAATAAATAAATCTTTAAAAAAATAACAATAAAACAGTCAAGATCTTAGTGGTTTTTTTTTTTTTTTAAAGACTTTATTTCTTTATTTGACAGAGAGAGATCACAAGTAGGCAGAGAGGCAGGCAGCGGGGGGCAGGAAGCAGGCTCCCTGCTGAGCAGAGAGCCCAATGCGGAGCTCAATCCCAGAACCCTGGGATCATGACTGGAGCCGAAGGCAGAAGCTTTAACCCACTGAGCCACCCAGGCGCCTCTGAGTCTTGATTTTAGTTTGGGTCATGATCTCAGGGTTGTGAGATCAAATCCTGCATCGGACTCCTTGTTGAGCTTGGAGCCTGCTTAAGATTCTCTCTCCAGGCACCTGGGTGGCTCATTCGGTGAAGCAACTGCCTTTGGCTCGGGTCATGATCCCTGGATCCTGGGATCGAGCCCCTCATTGGGCTCCCTGCTCAGTGGAGAGCCTTCTTCTCCCTCTGCCTCTGCCTCTCTTCCTGCTCATGTTCCCTCTTTTCCCTCTCTCTACAATAAATAAATAAAATCTTTAAAAAAAAAAAAAAAAAAAAAGATTTTCTCTCTCTCCCCCTCTGCCCCTCCCCCACTGGTTCTCTCTCAAAAAGAAAGAAAATAGAATAAATGAAAAATAAATACAGAATTTCTCATTAGGAGAACTTTATCTCCCTAGGATGATAAAAATTCTTTTTACATTAATTATCATCTGGTCATGTGGAAATACAAGAAGACAGGTGGTTAGAATATAGCCTTGTTAGGGGCACGTAGGTGGCACAGTTGGTTAAGCATCTGGCTCTTGGTTTTGGCTCAGGTCAGGATGTCAGGGTCTTGAGATCAAGCCCCTTCTTAGGCTCTGGGTGTGGAGTCTGCTTAAAAGATTCTCTCTCCCTCTTCCCCCCAATGCACTGTCCCTCTCTCAAATAAATAAATCTTCAAAGAAAAAAGAAAGGATTTAATCTTACTATTAGTCAGACGTGGTCCACATAATAAAGAATAAAGGGTGCCTGGCTGGCTCAGTAGGTAGAACATACAGCTCTTGGGGCACCTGGGTGGCTCAGTGGGTTAAAGCCTCTACCTTCAGCTCAGGTCATGATCCCAGGGTCCTGGGATCGAGCCCCGCATCAGGCTCTCTGTCTGCCTGCCTCTCTGCCTACTTGTGATCTCTGTCTGTCAAATAAATAAATAAAATCTTTAAAAAAAAAAAAAAAAAAAAAGAACATGCAGCTCTTGATCTCAGGGTCATACGTTCAAGCCCCATGTTGAGCATAGAGCTTGCTTTAAAAAAAATTAATTTTTAATGTACAGTTCATTGGTTTAAAATAGAGAGGGATGTAAGAATCACTGTAACATTGTTTATAAATTGTTTATAATATTTACAAATGAACATTGTTAATATTTTTTAAATTTCAATTTAAAAGTGATTGTAGCAGGTGCCTGGGTTGGCTCAGTGGGTCAAAGCCTCTGCCTTCGGCTCAGGGCATGATCCCAGGGTCCTGGGATGGAGCCCCGCATCAGGCTCTCTGCTCAGCAGGGAGCCTGCTTCCTCCTCTCTCTCTTTGCCTGCCTCTCTGCCTACTTGTAATCTCTGTCTGTCAAATAAATAAATCTTTAAAAAAAAAAGTGATTGTAGCTATGAAAGTAAAACTTATGGGGCGCCTGGGTGGCTCATTTGGTTAAGGTTTTGGCTTGATGGTAATCTCAGGTTGTAGTATGAGGCCCCACGTCGGGGCTCTGTGCTTGGCAGGGAATCTGCCTGTCCCTCTCCCTCTGCTTCTCCCTCTACTTGCATGGGTGGGCTCTCTCTCTCTCTCTCTCTCTCTCTTGTATTTATAAATAAAATCTTTATTAAAAAAAGAAAAGTAAAATTGATGCATACTTTTCCATTCTTAAAATTTAGAAATGTGTCATTACATAGGAAGCCTTTTTTGTAACATTCTTGATTTATTCATTTTTTCCTTTTAATGATAAAAATGCTACATCATTTAACAGAAAAATAATGAACCATTAAATGAAGGAGTAGAACTATGGAAGGACTCAAAAACAGAAAATTCTTTAGAGGGCAGAGAACAATGCTTCGGTATTTTTTAGGGACCCAAATCATGTTCAGGAAGATTGAGTGAACTATTACCAAGGTCACCTCCTGAAAGCAGAAAAGCTTTTGATGACCTTACCATGTAGGCAGTAATATGCTTATTCTGCTGGGGTATTATTTATTTATTTACTATAGTATTTTTTCCCCCCACAGTGTGTCTCCATTTATCTAGGTCTTTTCTAATATATCTCAGTAATGCTTTTTCAGGGGCACCTGGGTGGCTCAGTGGGTTAAAGCCTCTGCCTTCAGCTCAGGTCATGATCCCAGGGTCCTGGGATCGAGCCGGGCATCCGGCTCTCTGCTCAGCGGGGAGCCTGCTTTCCCTCCTCTTTCTCTGCCTGCCTCTCTGCCTACTTGTGATCTCTGTCTGTCAAATAAATAAATAAAATCTTTTAAAATAATAATGCTTTTTCAGAAATCAACTTTATTGAGGTTCAGTTGACATACAATAAAGTATACTCATTTTAAGTGTACATTTCAGTGAGTTTGAGTAAATCTCATTCATGTAATAATCTTTCACATAAAGTACATAACCTCTTGTTCTCTGTGTCATTCACACCTTCAGAGTTAGCTTATTATTAGTTCAAGTGCCTGCCACATGCTGAGTGCTATGCTAGGTGCTGGAGGACCTATGGAAAATAAGGTCATTCTCATCCTCAAAGAGCTTAGTCTCACCAGGAAGAAAAACCAGAGGATGGACATTTCTGCAAACCATGATAATGATGAGTGCCTCAGAAGTGAATAAATACAGTGTTGTGGGGACAATAGGAAGAACCCCCCCTAACAAACTGGAGGAGAATTAGGGAGGGGAAGCTCTTTGGAAGAAGTGATAGCTAAGCTTGATAGGAAGGAAATAAGGAGACAGAACGAAAACCAAAATTCCAAACAGAAGGAGTCATCTGTATAAAAGTAGGCACAGGGAGAGAAAGGTGGGCAGCCTTTAGGTGCCTTTTATGGGATGTTAGCATAAAGTGGGATTCTCTGGTGAGAAGAGAGAGATTGTTTTCTGCTGTCATTCCAGCAGTACCTGAGAGGTAGATGAAAAGCAACATATAAAATATGCAGATTGGTAGTGGGGAAATTAGTTCATGGAACGCCATGAGTTTTGTGTGTGTGTGTGTGTGCGCGCGTGCGCACGCAGCATATGCATAGATGAATTCCTAGGTATTGGACTTCTTACCAATTTGGCCCTAATATTGATGCAGAACAGGTAGAACTGGTGATTACCTTTACAGGAGACTTGCTCTCACGTGGAACCGGACGTTTAGCAAAAGTCCTATCCAGAGCCTAAAGATTAATCTAAGGAGAAAAGTATGAGTACCTTAACACAATATTCTCTCGGTAGTCAGTTGATACCTAATAATACCAGTTAAAGAGAGGCCAGAAAGTGTAACTTATTACTGCAGGTGGGAAATTCTGGCCAAAGAAATTCAGGTTTCTCTGAATGGACAATTGATTTAAAAAAAAATACCCATGTGTTCTTAACCCTTTCTTTCCCCCATCCAGACATAAGAATTTGTGGTGTCTTGAGCAAGTAAGATCTTCATTCTTCTTTAAAGACTTTCCAAAGGAGGCACCTGGGTGGCTCAGTGGGTTAAAGCCTTTGCCTTCGGCTCGGGTCATGATCCCAGGGTCCTGGGATTGAGTCCCTCATCGGGCTCTCTGCTCAGCAGGGAGCCTGCTTCCCTCTCTCTCTCTGCCTGCCTCTCTGCCTACTTGTGATCTGTCTCTCTGTCAAATAAATAAATGAAATCTTAAAAAAAAAAAAAAAAAAAAAAAAGACTTTCCAAAGGAGAATACCAGGAGTTGGGGGAGATGCTGACCACTACATGAAGAGAACAGAAAGTAAATTTTGTTTGAGGGAAAGAAAGGAAGCTAGAGTTCATTCAGTGTTCTAGGCCCAGTGGGTGTTAGGTTAAAACTCTTGGCTCCCTGAACAGAAATCCTTTAAAGTAAAGTAGCAAGTTAACCTTTAATTTGTTGCTCTTCAATTTGCATGTCATTGGTGATCCCTTCTGGCCACTCTTTCACAGTTTACATCTGAGTGTTCCCCTAGACACCTGCCTCATGTCACTATGCACAGAGTGTATGTATTTGTCCAGGTTTGTGTTATAAGAGAAGTAAATGATCAAATGTAGATTTTGTTGGAAAGCTTACCAGATACATGCATTTTATAGCATTAAGCTAGATATTTACTGTGTCAGTATTGTACTGGATTCATGGTTTGGCTCACATTTTAGCTACCTGAGACTGTTTCTTAGAGGTCAGTGATGGGGTGGTACACACGTTTGGAGGTACACGACATGCTACAATTCATTATAAAGTGCAAATAAGTTCATACTATTTTCCCTTCTTCTTTCAACACATATTTAAAATAGATTCCAGGGCGCCTGGATGTCTCAGTTGGCTATGATTCCGAGGTCCTGGGATTGGGATCCTGGGATCCAGCCCCACACTGGGCTCCCTGCTCAGCAGGAAGTCTGCTTTTACCTCTCCCTCTGCCCCTCTCCCCACCTTGTGTGTTCTCTCTCATGCTTTCTCTCTTTCAGATAAATCTTTTAAATGAATGAATGAATACATGCATGCATGAATGAATGAATTAGATTCCTAAATTCTGATAACATTATTTTTAAAAATTTTAACCTGTATTTACATGTAATCCTCATAATATCACTTTGAGTTAATTATCCTCATTTTACAAATGAGTTCCAGGGACTTGCATGTGACCCTGAGAAAACATGACAGACCTGGAAGTTCTGATTCCTAACCTAATAGATTCTATAGCACACTATTGGATTTCTTTCCTTTTCCAAAAAAATTATTTATTTTTATTTTTGACATTTGAGCTGCTCTAACAGTGTTACATCTTCTGATAAATTTATCAGTACATTCCAGACAGTGCCTTTTATTGAATCAGAAAAAGACAGCTGATTATACCAGTACTGACACAGAAGAGATACTGTGACTTCATTTTGCTTAGATCTGTCTTTATGATCATGTTGATGGAGCCATTAATCTTTGTTCTCACTGAATAATGATTTCTAGAATGTTTGCTGCTGACCCTATGATTCACCAACAGATTGTTTGTTCATAATTAAATTACAGTCTTTCGGGGGTCCCTGGGTGGCTCAGTTGGTAAAGTGTCAGACTTGATCTCAGCTCAGGTCTTGATCTGAGGTTCATGAGTTCAGGCCCTGCGTTGACCTCCACGTTGGGTGTGGAGCCTACTTAAAGAGAAAAAAGTAAGTTAAATAAATAAATTGTAGTCTTTCAGTGTGTATTTTGAGAAATTCTGTTTTCCTGACTTTAAAATTCTCTTTAATCCCAGTCCTCCCATTGAATCCTAAATGTTTCCTCCTCCTTTTTAAAGGTGGATTTCATTGACTGGGTAGACAACATGTGGCCAAGGCATCTGAAGGAGAGTCAGACTGAATCGACAAATGCCATCTTGGAGATGCAGTACCCCAAAGTGCAGAAGTAAGTGGCTTTTCCTGCATTTGCTCAGGTGCATTGGGAAGTCAGAGTGATAGCAAGGACTGGTTCTTCCCTTCACAGCCTTGCTCTGTGTCCTAAATGATCAAAAAGATGAATTCTTGGGCGCCTGGGTGGCTCATTTGGTTCAGAGACTGCTTCCAGCTCAGGTCATGATCCTGGAGTCCCAGGATCGAGTCCTGCATCAGACTCTACCCAGTGGGAAGTGTGCTTCTCCCTCTGACCCTCTCCCATCTCGTGCTCGCTCGCTCTCTCTCTCTCTCTCTCTCACTTTGTCTCCCAAATAAAGAAATAAAATCTTCAAAAAAAAAAAAAAGATGAATTTTTTAAGCAGTAGGCTTTACAGTTCTAAAGGGGAGCGTGTATGTAACAGTGTCATAACCATGACTACAGAGGTTAAAGAAAATGTATGGTCTGATAATACAATGATTTGAAATTGCATTCCTCTCACTGGGAATTGATTAGGCACAAAGTGGGATAGTGTGTGAAAGGGGAGAGTGTGGCATTGGGGTAGAGCAGGCTCTCTTTTTTAATCAGTGCACTAATGCTGCTGCTTTTTTTGGGTCAGGTACTGTCTAATGAGTGTTCGAGGCTGCTATACTGACTTCCATGTGGACTTTGGTGGTACCTCTGTTTGGTATCACATCCATCAAGGGGGAAAGGTACGGTCATAGTCATGATGGGGGTTGGAATCTGAAGCTGGTTTTATGACTCTGCTTCAGTTCATGCATGCTTAATATACCCTGGAAATGAATCTGTTAGAGAATTGTCCCCTATTCTAGAGAGAATCATAGATTAAGTTGACCTTCTTGGCTAGACTTCAGTAGGAATTAGTATTCATCTGGTCTGCTATCATTACACCAGTATTGGCACAGTACTTAGTAAACCTCAACAGTCCTGTTTTTAGATTCCCAGGGCGGATTTTCCACATGAGGGCAAGGGAGTGGCTTTAGGAAGACCAGACTTCTCTACCTGGAAGTGTAATAATGAAATAGAAGGCAACAGAAATTTTATATAGATTCACAACGATATCAGAAATTAGAATTCAGACCACCTTTTCCTATATGAAGGCACTGATCTGAAATTTGGTCAAAGGAAGCCTTTAAGTCCTCTCTGAGGGTATGAATAGATTTTGAAATATTATTCTCATTCAGAAAGAAGTGTATTCCATCTTATCAGATTGTTTCTAAATGCTGTGTGAGAACAGAAATCTGGGATTAATGTCAAGTTTATAGTATTGTACTCCTATGGTTAGCCTTTTTTCCCCTTGCTGGAAGTGGATGCTTTTGTGAGAGAAAAAGTAGATCTAGATTGAAAACCGATGCTTTTAAAATATGAAGTCTTAATTTAGAACAACTATACCTCCAAATCCAAAGTCATTTTGTTTACTTTGGATCCATTTCACTGATATCTTAAGTTTTGTCGTTTTGATCTTGGTTACTACCCTAGAACAAAGCAACCTAGGCCTGTCTCTTCAAGACACTGTACCTAACTGTTCTTCTTAGGACTATAGAGGCCAGATAGCTAGGGGCAAGTAAGGGACTATCTAGGTAACAAACTGAATACACCACTTCCCTCTCAGTCCTGGATCAGTTCTGGACTCTACATCAAACCCCCAAGAAGCTCTAATGCCATTTCAACAAGTCAAAAAAAGATCTACTTCCTTAGGGCCTCTAGAATTTCCCAAATGGCCAGGTTCTGTAAGCTAAGGGAATTGCTTGTTGCTCTTCTACCTCTTGACCTTAACTTGTACCCATTTATCAGTTGAGGGAGACGACTGGGTCATGTCAATAGCTGTTAACAGACTGAAGTTTTTTAACTCACAGGTCTTCTGGCTCATCCCCCCTACAGCCCACAACCTGGAGCTGTACGAGAATTGGCTGCTGTCAGGGAAACAGGGAGACATCTTTCTGGGTGACCGGGTGTCAGATTGCCAGCGCATTGAGCTCAAGCAGGGCTATACCTTCGTCATTCCCTCAGGTAAGCAGGATGGGAAAAAATGGGTTGTTTGGCCACTTTCTTTCCTTTAAGAAAAAGAATTGATGGATTACCACCAAGAATGGTTATGATTGGGTGGGCAGAAAACAATAGTGTCCTTTCCGGTCATTATGGAGTATCAGATGCTAAGAATTTGGATTTTTTAAAAAAGCACTGATTTTCCACTAAAATCAGAATTGCCAGTGGTGGGACACCTGGGTGGCTCAGTCGGTGAAGTGTCTGCCTTCAGCTCAGGTCAGGATCCCAGGGTCCTGGGATTGAGACCCACATTGGGCTCACTGCCCAGAGGGGAGCCTGCTTCTCCCTCTCCCCACTCATGCTCTCGCTCTTGCTCTGTGCATTCTCTCTCAAGTCAGCAAAATCTTAAAAAAAAAAAAAGGAATTGCCAGTGGTGGCTTTTCAGATTTACATGTTTGGGCCCCACATTAGCTCTAGGTAATCAGAGTCTGTTAAGGATAAGACCTAGTCAGCATGCAGTGTCTAATGTCCAGATAAGAGCTCCCTGTTCTAAGGGATGGCTGCAAGGGGTGTAGAAATTAGTGATATATATATATATTTTTTTAAAGATTTTATTTATTTATTTGTCAGAGAGAGAGAGAGCACAGGCAGACAGAATGGCAGGCAGAGGCAGAGGGAGAAGCAGGCTCCCTGATGAGCAAGGAGCCCGATGTGGGACTCAATCCCAGGACGCTGGGATCATGACCTGAGCCGAAGGCAGCTGCTTAACCAACTGAGCCACCCAGGCGTCCCATATTAGTGATATTTTTATTGGGTCACTAGTCCTAAAATAAATAGAACACAGGTTTTGGAATCACAGACGTGTATTTAATTCTGTGTATTTACCTGCTAATACCACGTTGGTCAAATATTTAAATCTGTCACATTTTGTTGTGAGGGGTAAATGGGAATACCTGTGTAATCTCTGGTTCTGCGCCTTCACAGTAGGTGCTCCTGTAAGTAGAAACAGCATTTGTTAAACTTGCTGTATGCTAAACACTTTACATGCATTTTCTGATTTAATGCTTACTAACAACCATATAAAGTTTAATTTTTATAGAGCATTTGAGGCTGCAAGAGATTAAATAATTTGACCAACCACTCAGTGGCAGAATCAGAGTAAAATGTGTGATCTAGGAGTCTTTTTCTAGGTCTCTGAGAAAGCCGTGTTATAACATGTGCTAAAGTCGTTGCCCTTCACTCCTTTCTTCTAGGCTGGATTCATGCTGTGTACACTCCTACAGACACATTAGTCTTTGGAGGCAATTTTTTGCATAGCTTCAATATCCCCATGCAGTTAAAAATATACAACATTGAAGATCGGACACGGGTGAGTAATTCTGCATGGAACTGGATGTGGAGGAGATGACCGCCATTTAAGAGATGTTATAAGAGATTCATTGGTAGTTATCTCAAAACTTCAGTTTTTTCTGAGTTAAAATGCATTGTTTACATTTCGGGGACACTGAGAGGAAAGCTTTAACAAGATTTACATGCTTGATTTGGAAGACTCTAATTCTTTGAGGTTCTTGGTATCTTGGATTTTTATAGGGCTAGAAATGGACATTTGATAATTGATGTTTTTAAATTTTATGTTCTTAGAATAATTCGATGTAATGAGATATATCAACTCAGGAGTCATAGCGTGAATTCACGTATCTTTACTCCTATTACTATCCCTCACCCAAACCGTTGTACTTGAATAAATCAGGGTACATACTGTTTTTCCCAGCTGGGGTTCCTTGAGAGAATGAAGTCCTTCAGAAAATGATTGGTGCATCTTATTTTCTAGGTTTTCCCTGGGAAGGTATGTAGCTGATACCATTCTAGACATAACGGAAAAAAGTTAGGTACTTACAATGTAGTGGATGCCCTGGCGAGAGTTGGCAAAACTTTTTCTGTAAAGAATCAGATAGTGAATGTTTTAGGCTCTGTGGGCCATACAGGATCTGCTGCAAGTACTTAACTGCCTTGTAGAATGAAATACTTAAACGAATGAGAATGGCTCAAATAAAATAAAAATTTTATTTATGGACACTGAGATTTGAATTTCATATAGTTTTCCCGTGTAACAGAATGCTCTAATTTTAGTTGTTGGGTTTTTTTCAGTCATTTAAAAATGTAAAAAACCCTCTTCGCTCACAGGGCTTGCAAAAATAGGCAGCAGACCAAATCCACTCGCTGCTGTTTGCTGAACAACCCATGTCTTCGCAAAATAGGACTTAATTCTTTAGTAGAAGCCAAGGCTGAATTACATATGATTAATGTATAGAGGGTATTGACCTTAAAGACCAATTAGAGCATAGAGTCTTTAGAGGGTGTGATGTTCCCATCTTGCTCTCAAGTAGTTCAGCAGAATAATAACAGGGTATATGAATAGAGATTAGCAAATGTGGGGAAATGTTGATAGGGGGTGAATCTCGAATAATGCTATAGGCAGTGTTCTGCACTGCTCTTAATAATTGGTGGATGTGGGGGGCACCTGGGTGGCTCAGTGGGTTAAGCCTCTGCCTTCGGCTCAGGTCATGATCTCAGGGTCCTGGGATTGAGCCCCACATCGGGCTCTCTGCTCAGCGGGGAGCCTGCTTCCCCCTCTCTCTCTGCCTGCCTCTCTGCCTCCTTGAGATCTCTCTCTCTCTGTCAAATGAATAAATAAAATCTTTAAAAAAATTTTTTTGGTGGATTTGAAAGTTTTCAAAGTTAAATTTTAAAAAATCGCAGTTAGGGGGTGCCTGAGTCGCTCAGTCAGTTGAGCGTCTGCCTTCAACTCTGGTCATGATTTCGGGGTCCTGGGATCGAGCCCCGTGTCATGCTCCCTGCTCATCAGGGGAGTCTGCTTCTCCCTTTATTCCTTCCCTGTGCTCATGTGCTCGCACGTGCTCCCTCTTTCTCTCTCTCTCTTGCTCTCTCTCAAATAAGTAAATAAAATCATTTTTAAATATCACAGTTGTGGCACCTCTGTGGCTCAGTTGGTTAAGCAGCTGCCTCCAGCTGACGTCGCAATCCCAGAGTGCTGGGATCAAACCCCTTGTTGGGCTCCCTGCTCACTGGAGAGCCTGCGTCTCCTTCTCCCTCTGCCCCTCTCCCACACTCATGCTCGCTCTCTGTCTCTCTATCTTAAATAAATAAAGTCTCTAAAAAGTAATTAAAAAACAATAAAATATCACAGTGAAGAATTTACAGTTTTTAGAAGGAACAGTCATTGACATATTTATTGTGAACATGCTCAAATATTTTGGTTCCTATTTTGAAACCTGTGTTTTGGGGCATATGAGTGGCTCAGTCGTTAAGCGTCTGTCTTGAGTGCATGTCATGATCCCAGGGTCCTGGGATCGAGCCCTGCGTGTCAGGGTCCCTGCTAAGCAGGAAACCTGCTTCTCCCTCTGCCTGCTGCTCTCCCTGCTTGTCTCTCTTTCTTTCAAATAAATTAAAAAAAAATCTTTAAAAGAAGAGACCTGTATTTTGGTTAGCAGCTACCTATTACTTTACTTACACACAAGAGTAGTAGTGTTGGAGTTATAGGGATTCCCTGTTAGAATTAAGAAGCAGTTCTGGCGCCTGGGTGGCTCAGTTGAGCATCTGCCTTCCTCTCAGGTCATGATCCTGGGGTCTTGGGATCAATCCCCACCTTGGGCTCCCTGCTCAGCTGAGAGCCAGCGTCTTCCTCTCCTGCTCCCCCTGCTTGTGTTCTCTCTGTCAAATAAATAAAATTTTTAAAAAAATGATGATGATGATGCAGTGCCCTTATTTATTGGGGTGCCTGGGTGGCTCAGTCGGTTAAGCAGCTCAGGTTGTCATCCCAGGGTCCTGGGATTGAGCTCTGTGTCACAGAGAGAGAGAATCTTAAGCAGGATCCCTGTTGAGTGTGGAGCCCCACACCGGGCTTGACCTCATGACCCTGAGATCATGACCTGAGCCGGAACCAAGAGTTGAACACGTAACCAGCTGTACCACCCAGATGCCCCTGCAGTGCTTTTAAAATAAATTTTAGGGGTGCCTGGTTGGCTCAGTGGGTTAAAACCTCTGCCTTCAGCTCAGGTCATGATCCCAGGGTCCTGGGATCAAGCCCCAGATCGGGCTCTCTGCTCAGCGGGGAGCCTGCTTCTCTCCCTCTCTCTCTCTCTCTGCCTGCCTCTCTGCCTACTTGTGATCTCTGTCAAATAAAATAAAAATCTTAAAAAAAAAAATTTTATAAGGGTGCCTGGGTGTTTCGGTTCAGTGTGTGCCTTCAGCTCAGGTCATGATCTTGGGGTCCTGGGATCGACCCCCACCCCCACAGGGAGTCTCCTGCTCCCTCTCTCACACACCCTTGCGCTCTCTCTCAATAAGTTCTTTTTTTTTTTTTAACAAAAAGTTTATATGTGTTTGTTTTTGAAGAGTAATGAAACTACAAGAAAATAGTTAAGTTTGAAATTTCAATAATTAAAAAAAAGTTGATTTTTCAAGAGATTTATGTAATTTCATAATAAAGTACGCTTATTTAACTCAGAATCATTCTGAGGTAATACCACCTATCTACTCTAATCTGAAAATTAGGTTTTAGAAACTATTCCCCCTTTTTTGGATAAAATTACTATTATCATGCCTTTGAGTTACTGACTTAATTGATAAGTTGCCCTGTTGGAGGGAAGAAAAGGAGAATGTGTATTTAGTGGCATAGGTGAAATGAGTTACGTTATCTCTGCTAGAAGTTTCTTGCAGACTGTTAAACTTGTAATAACTGATCTTGATTTAACTAATATTCCTAGACTTTGTTTATCAGAAAATGTCAAATTTCAGTCTGACCACATTATTCCATTTTCCCTAAATATAGTTTAATTCTTTCATTCTAAATAAGGAACTCCTTGGTGTTTCTGTAAAATTTCATTGAGTCCCCTGCATATGTACACACAGTGTTATTGTTGTTGTTGTTGTTATTATTATTATTATTATTGCTTTCTACACCAACCTTTTATGTGCCAAAACCAGTCTGGCATTCATTTAATATGTTGCTTTACAAAAATAAAGTGTGTTATAGGGGCACCTGGATGGCTCAGTGGGTGAAACCTCTGCCTTCGGCTCAGGTCATGATCTCGGGGTCCTGGGATCGAGCCCCGCACCAGGCTCTCTGCTCAATGGGGAGCCTGCTTCCTCCTCTCTCTCTCTCTCTTTCTGCCTGCCTCTCCACCTACTTGAGATTGAAATAAATGATATCTTTAAAAAAAAAAAAGTGTGTTATAAATTAAGACAATGGTTTGGTTTCTTTTGCCATGCCAGTGTGGAAATACTGTACTATTTAAACTTGAGTGATGGTGATTATTCTACTGATAGCACTTAAAAGCTCCGTAATTTGTAAGGAGGATTAAAAAAAATTCCCCCACCAAAAAATTCTAACCCAGTCTTAGAAATTTATATGTTCTGTGATGTCTGGCAACAAAGATAAAATATAATGAGGCAAGTTGGATGGGTGTGTGGTATCTTGGGTGTTACTAATGCAGTCTGATGAGTTCCAAGTAAAAAATCGGAAGTTTAATGTCTTTTTTTTTTTTTAAAGCTGTCAATACTCAGCTCTCAACAGAGTACCAAAGGGCTTTAGAATTTTGGGTTGTCCGGAACTTTTCATAAAGACCCTTCCACAGGGCACCGGGGTGGCTCAGTTGGTGAAACATCTGCTTTCGGTGTGGGTCATTATCCTGGGTCCTGGGATCCAGCCCTGCGTTGGGCTCTCTGCTCAGCAGGGACCCTACTTTTCCCTCTCCCTCTGCCTGCTGCTCCCCCTCTTGTCTCTCTTTCTCTCACTAAATAAATAAAATCTTTAAAAAGAAAAAAAAGACCCTTCCAGAAAAGTGTTAATATGTGTAAAAGGTGAGCGGAGAGGCCCGTGTGTTATATTTAATTTGGGGGGACCTAGTATCTATTAATTGTTCTGGTTCCCCCACACACCTTATCAAAAGTAAATTAATTTGGTCTTTTTAAAAACTAATTTAATTTATGTATTTTTAAGTAGACTCTAGGCCCAGTGTGGGGCTTGAACTCATGACCCTGAGATCAAGAATTACATGTTTTACCAACTGAGCCAGCCAGGTGCCCCTAATTTGACTTGAAAATAAAAGAGGAAACACTGCTTTTAGTTGTTAAAACTGTAACACTTAAGATACCCAGACTCAGAGCCCAGCTTGTCTGAATTGGAAACCTAATGAAAAGTACCTGCCTCTCCTGCCTTGCAATGAGGAAAGTAGTCTCATTCCACAGTCATGCTCTGTGACCTGGTGAAGGATTTTGAAAAGGGCCTTCCATCCAGATCTCCTCAATTCAGGAATACTACCTGACATGAAGCTTTGAAAAGGAGATGAAAACATTCTCAGTTGCATATTCAAAACAATCTTAAAAGTATTGTGGGGCTGCTGCTTTTGAAAGCTATCCTCTAGGCTTTCAAGACAGCAAAATATATATAGGGTAGTCCCCATTGTTGGTCTTCCTCACTGATTAATCCATGATGATTTGCCTTTGTTTCGACTATGCTAGAGCTGAAGGGCAGTTCTTTTTGTTATTATTCAGCTGGAATGATTTCATGCTGCTTCTGGAGGGAATGAAAGGAGCTAAAGGCAGTAGCTGATTAGGCCATGTGGAGCAGCAGTCTCATTTGTGGACCTGCCATTGGGGCAAACTGCGAAGTATTGTACAGACCAGCTAAGAGCTGATGGTGTGAAAATACACAGTCTTGTGTCCTAGACTAGGCATAGCTTGAGAACAGGTCTCTCTAATCTACTGTCCTATAGGTAAGGACATAATAAAAGCATATAGCTTCATCTCATGTCCTCTTGTCCATTAGATTCTTTATCCCGTGGCCTTCTAATTCAGGTTAGAACTGTCGTAAAGTTAGGACTGTTTGGCAGGCCTTTGTATCCTAAGAACACTAAAACAGTTTTCTCAAGTGTATTGTGTTGTACTCTAGCACTTTACTCTCTGTCCCAAAACTTACTTTTGATGCTTTCCCAAGACACCTTCTTAGTGGTGCTGAAACTTTATTTTGGTGATCGTTTCCCAAGACCGACAATTTTTAGGTTGACGGATCACTTAGGTTCTTGTTCCAAATGCCACCCTAGGTGTTGACGAGAGTGTTTTTCTTGGGTTAATTTTTGCAGTGATACAGTGTGTCTTACTCTCTTTCCTTGAAAATTGTTATCAGCTTGTTTTTCCCATTATTTTGTTCTCACGTAGGTTCCAAATAAGTTCCGTTATCCATTCTACTACGAGATGTGTTGGTACGTGTTGGAGCGCTATGTGTACTGCATAACAAACCGTTCCCACCTAACTAAGGAATTTCAGAAAGAGTCCCTCAGTATGGGTAAGTGTCCTGCATGAACATGCATTTACCTGCTTGGAACTACCAAGTTCATTCACTGGAGTCGAACATTGGTTACAGCTGAGCTCCTACCCAGACATGAATTACTAGGCAACGTTAAGTATCTGGATCTCCTCTTTGTCTGAATTGTTGATACTTAGCTCCTTAAGAAAGAGGGTCACTTCTCTACTATATTTATTATCTAAAGAATGGTCTTTGGTACAATAAAAACTAAATGTCGTCATGCTAACTCTTAACTATATTCCAGGCACATTACTAAGGAGTAAATTCTGTTATTACCTGTGAGGTGTAGGTATTATCCTCATTTTACAAATGGTGACATTAAGTTTCAAAGAAATTAAAAAACCTGTCCATGATCCTATAGTTTATAAATGTGAAAGCTACAGTTTTAGTCAAGTTGGTAAGTCTCTAAAATCTATACCCTTAACCTCTGTGCTTTAATGTTTCCTCAACTTATATTAAGAGAAGTATTTTATTGGATGGCAAGATACTTTGTTAGTTATACATTTTTAGGTTGTTTCATGCCTTGAGGTGTGGAGGAGTCAGCAGTGTAATATCCTGTGGTCATGTCTTTCACAGAATCTTCGATCTAAGCCAGATAATTTTTTTTTTGCTTCAGCATTTTCCTTTGAGGATAGTTTATATTCTTGTTTGAAAATAAAAAATGATCACCTAGTACATGAAAGCAGGATACAGAATTTAATTGTATATGCCACATATCCCAGCGCAACCATAGTCATACGCATATGCAATGAAAAAGATGCAGGGGCGCCTGGGTGGCTCAGTAAGGTAAGCATCTGCCTTTGGATCAGGTTGTGATCTCAGGGTCCTGGGATCTAATCTCAGGGTCCTGGTGTCCAGCCCTGCAGTGGGCTCCCTGTTCAGCGGGGAATCTCCTTCTCTCTCTCTCTCTCTCTCTCTCTCTCTCTCTCTGCCCCTTGTCCTACTCATGCCCTCTTTCTCTCAAATAAATACATAGCCGCTATAAAAAAGAAAGGGAAAAGGATGGAAAGAAAATACCAGCTGATGAGTTGTTATCCAAGGTTAGAGGGATAAGGGATGACTAATATTTACTTCTTTGCACCATCTTACATTTTCTAAATTATTACTAATAAACATATTACTTGTTTTCCCATTTGGATTGGCTAATTAATTTTTATACTTTTTTTTTTTTTTTTTTAAGTTTTTACTCAAATCCCAGTTAGTTAGCAGGCAGTGTAATACTAGTTTCGGGTGGACAGTATAGTGATTCAGCTCTTCCATAGAGCACCTGGTGCTCCTCACCGCAAGAATGCTCCTTAATTCCCATCACCTGTTTCACCCACACCCCCACCCACCACCCCTCTGGTGATCCTCTGTTTGCTCTGTTAGTGAAGAGTCTGTTTCTACTGTTACTTTCATCATAAAGGACCAGTGAACATTTAAGTTTTTCTTTCATTAGATCTTTATTTTGACTATCAAAATCTTCTTTTTTAAAAAAAGATTTTATTTATTTGACAGAGATCACAAGTAGGCAGAGAAGCAGGCAGAGAGAGAGGAGGAAACAGGCTCCCTGCCGAGCAGAGAGTCAGACATGGGGCTTGATTCCAGGACCCTGGGATCATGACCCGAGCCGAAGGCAGAGGCTTAACCCACTGAGCCACCCAGGCCTCCCTATCAAAATCTTTTTAAAAACACTTGCTTTGTTTTGTTAGCCATATTGATGAGATTTCAATTCCATAGTTTAGTTTTATGACCAAAACTTTTAACAAAACTGTATGTGCGGGCACCTGGGTGGCTCAGTGGGTTAGGCCTCTGCCTTCGGCTCGGGTCTTGATCTCAGGGTCCTGGGATGGAGTCCTGCATCCGGCTCTCTGCTCAGCAGGGAGCCTGCTTCCCTCTCTCCCTCTGCCTACCTCTCTGCTTGCTTGTGATCTCTCTCTGTCAGATAAATAAATTTCAAAACCAAACAAAAAAACTGTATGTGCTTCGTACTGTCTGCTTTTTAAAAAGTTAATGAAGGGGCACCTGGGTGGCTCAGTTAAGTGTCTACATTTGGCTCAGATCATGATCCCAGGGTCCTGGGACTGAGCCCCCCATCGGGCTCTCTACTCAGAGAAGAGCTTGCTTCTCCCTCTGCCTGCTGCTCCCCCTGCTTGTGCTCTCTCTCTTTGTGTCAAATAAATAAATAAAATGAAATAAAAAGTTAATGAAATTATAACCCCAAATTTCAGTTTGGACTTGGAATTAATTTATAGTCATTGTCAGCTGACTTATTTCTAGCACGCAGTTCATGGACTCTTCAATCTTTTGAAAAATCAGTTGATCATTACCTTAGCTGTTATACTAACTCAGGATCCTACTCTTACCTGTAACTATGATTTTCAACAAGTAGCCATAGCTGGGATAAGGAAAGACCATTTTAAAATGTCCCAGCTTGGGACGCCTGGGTGGCTCAGTGGGTTAAAGCCTCTGCCTTCGGCTCAGGTCATGATCTCAGGATCCTGGGATCGAGCCCCGCATCGGACTCTCTGCTCAGCGGGGAGCCTGCTTCCTCCTCTCTCTGTCTCTGCCTGCCTCTCTGCCTACTTGTCTGTCAAATAAATAAATAAAATCTTTAAAAAAAAAAAAAAAAAATTCCCAGCTTTGGGCGCCTGGGTAGCTCAGTGGATTAAGCCGTTGCCTTCGGCTCGGGTCATGATCGCAGGGTCCTGGGATCAAGCCCTGCGTTGGGCTCTCTGCTCAGCAGGGAGCCTGCTTCCCCCTCTCTCTCTGCCTGACTCTCTGCCACTTGTGGTCTCTCTGTCAAATAAATAAATAAAATCTTAAAAAAAAAAATGTCCCAGCTTTGTCATTTATAACCCCAGGGTCCCTCCCATGCCGCCTGTTTTTCTCGTTGATCACATGGTCAAGTGGCATGTTCTTACTATATATTTTTTTTTTACTGGCAGATTTGGAGTTAAATGGGTTGGAATCTGGAAATGGGGATGAAGAAGCAGTGGATCGAGAACCGAGGCGCCTGAGCAATAGGCGTTCTGTCCTCACGAGCCCTGTAGCCAATGGGGTCAACCTGGATTATGATGGACTGGGCAAAACCTGCCGAAGTCTTCCAAGTCTGAAGAAAACCTTGTCAGGGGACTCCTCCTCTGACTCTAGCCGGGGCTCCCATAATGGCCAAGTGTGGGATCCCCAGTGTAGTCCTCGAAAGGACAGGCAGGTGCATTTGACCCATTTTGAGCTTGAAGGCCTCCGCTGTCTTGTAGATAAGTTGGAGTCTCTGCCACTGCACAAGAAATGTGTCCCCACAGGGATAGAAGATGAAGATGCTCTTATTGCCGACGTGAAGGTAAGGGTTGGTTATGTGGCATGGTAGCCACTCATCTGGCTCGGGCAAGCAGTTTCACATTTCTTAGAAAGTACAGGAATTCCGGATAATCTGGTTCATTCAGAAAGAAGTTAATATTTACTGGTATGTGTGTGCTGTACAGTGTTAGAATTCGTAAAGTGAGGTTAGGTCCCTGCTGTGAAAATACTAACATTTATATGTTCAATTAGGACTTAAATTTAGTCCTAAAAACACAGATTTCAGATTCATTCTAAAAATAAAGGAGACTTTTTATTTTTAATACTAAGTAATAGTATTAGGAAATAATATTTAAACAAGTTACCCGCAGATAAAGAGGCCTGTTTCAGAATAAAAGTGGCCAATAACAATCTCTAGCAGTTTCTCACCCCAAGCAGATAAGGAAGAAGCTCTTTTCCACTGGTTGATGTTGAGTAGCTTTCACATACTCAGTTTCATTTTTATCTACTTTTAAGATTTAAATTTTTAAAAACCATTGGACAGCTTCTGAGGAAGTGTCATTGTAAATAAACATAATCTGTCCTGTGGTGCTGGGCTGGCTCTTTCAGTGGAGCATGCGCCCCTTGATCTCTGGGTAGTGAGGTCAGTCCCCACATTGAGCATAGAGGTCAAAAAAAAAAAAAAAAAAAAAAAGACGTAACCTATCTGATTGCTAGATCAGGTTTCTTCATGTTATATATTTTTCTACTTTTTCAAGAGATCTCCCAGTAATAGTGATTTTTCAGAGCTGTCCCGCCCTTCATGTATTAGTCTCAAAAAAATGAGCTTCGCAGGGGTCCAGGTATCAACTGTCTAAACTGGAGGAAATTCTTTTAAGTCTTTCCTCACAAGTAACCATTACCATAAACACCAAAAACTGTAAAGCTGGGAATATCAATTTTCTTTGTAAGTCATCCTTTGGAGCTACGGTTTGGATGCAGGGCATGGATATGTGAATTAGAAAGCTGGCTTGCTATTGGTAAATAAGTGTTTATTTTCAAAATTTGTCATACAGATTATTTTAAGCCACAGAAGTATTTTATTGAATAAATTTATGTGGCCCTAAGGAAGATGGGCTTAATATCTCAGTATGTCTGTTCCATTTCTGATTTCCTGATTCACATTTTTCCTTGGCCACTTCTGCCAACCACCTCAGGAAAAAATTCCGTTATCTGGGATAGGACCTGAACTTTTCTTTCTCCTCCTTTTTCTTTTTATGATAAACTTTTTAATTGTATCTTACTGTTCAGGCATCAGTGAAAGGGTAAAAGACTAGAGGCAGGAAAGAGTGGTAACCTGGTGAGGTTGGTCCTCTCCGGTAGTGACAGAAGTGGGACAGTTGGTTTTATAGTTTGGTTTTACAAGGTTTGTAAAAGGTTTCTAGAAGAGACAGGTGGTATCATTGTTGCTTATATTTAGGGGAGGAAATGGCAGAGGTCCAGGTAGGTGTGGTCTTGTTTCTATAATGATAAATACGCTGCAAAACAAACTTAACCGTACTTTTCCAGACTCACAAACTAGATTCTAAATTCACTTTCCACCCTAAAGTGAGCAACATTTAAATTTTTTCTTTTCCATTGTGATAGGACATATATTTTTATACTTTCCTGAGAGTTTGATTATAGCATCTTTACCTTTTTCCCTCAGAAGTTTCTTTTTTTTTTTTTTTTAAGATTTTATTTATTTATTTGAGAGAGAGACAGTGAGAGAGAGCATGAGCGAGGAGAAGGTCAGAGAGAGAAGCAGACTCCCCGTGGAGCTGGGAGCCCGATGCAGGACACGATCCCTGGACTCCAGGATCACGACCTGAGCCGAAGGCAGTCGTCCAACCAACTGAGCCACCCAGGCGTCCCCAGAAGTTTCTTTTGTATGTAGCTATTCCATCATAGATACCTGTAGGAAACATTAAATTAATTAACTTGCCTATAGGATCACTAAAAAGAAAGATTTCTAAGTTTATATCTCATTGACATTCTTTTGGTCTGGATATCTATATTTCTGAATCATGAAAAAGAATAGGGGATTTGACTCCATTGAATCCAGTTGTAGGAAGTCATATTATAATCCACTGGTCAGTTGTACAGAGTCAAGTGTCATGATAGAAATACAGATGCTCCCTTAACTACAGTAGTTAAATAAAGATATTTGAGGAGGCAGAGTGGTACGGGAAAATGTAGAAAAATTTGTGTCAAATATCTAAGCAGAGTGAAAGGAGGCAGGAAGAAAGGGAATGAGTCAAAAAGATCTCCAAAGAGGGCTCTGAGCATTAGGGAAAGAGTCTAGGGAGAGCTTCCTTCTGTTTGTCAGGAATCATGAAAAACATGGTTGACATCACTGGCTAAGGTAGAGTGGCGTAGAGACTAGAGCACGAGGAGGGAGTGGCCACCGGGACGACCGCGGGGTTACAGTGTTTGATTATTCCTGCAGGGGCTTGTCCACACCTTGTCTTGTTTGCCCTGATACCGTAGTTAGAGTAAAGCTGATCGCAGAAGACGACAGACTTAGATCCCAGCTCTGCAGGTAGTTTTCACTTAAGGTCCTACGGATAATTATGCCTGCATTTGACTATTCATGTTTAGTCTGAGCTTCAGACAATAGTGAATGTAGAGCTTGAATACTTTGAGAATCTGAACACCACCAAGAAGAAAAGAAGCACTGGATTGGGTAGGTGCCACTCCCGCACAGCTGGAGACTGCAGTGCTCGAGAACTTGGAGCCTGTAGCATAGAGGCCTGTGCTGCAGTGGAAGACGACAGCAAGCCCGGAGTTTACTCTTCCTGCAGAGAGAGGGATTGCTTCTTGGTGCAGCCTTTGTGGCTCTCACAAAGAACTAGGAGCGGAGACGAGAGTAGAAGTGATAAGATGAAAGATCCGTAATTGCGTATCCCTGAAAGAAAAGTCCTTTCTCGTGATGGTGGGAAAGGGCTTTGAAGATTCCAAACGTTAAATTCCACGTTGTTGAAGAAAGATCGTAGAATATAAAATTGGAAGGGAATTTGATTTAAAAAGGGGCATTAAAAAGTGTTGACTTATTGGTAAAAGATCAGGGGAAAATAGTCAGTGGTGTGTCTGTTTGGGAGGTATGGTAACTTGGACTCCCTAAAAGTAGAATGGAGTTCTCTCGCACTGTGAGGTACTTTCTCATCTCTGAAACCGGGAAGTCTTGTGCTTGATAGATGTTGATTAGAGACAGAACCTGGTGCAGCGTGTATAGTACACTCCCATTAATGTGAGAAAATGTCTCTTTTGTATGTGCATTGCAGAGGTGCTGGAGAGAGGGACATGCCCACTGCTGCCAGTAGGTCACAGCAATGTGGTGGGCGTCAGCTGGAAGACTGAGTTTTTAATCGGACTTTATTGTGTTGTTTGTATTTATTTTGGTCATAAAGGAGCTCTTAATATACGTACATAAGTAAAAGATTTTTAGTGTGTCAGTGTATTTGGCTACCCAACTCAGTGAAACAAATTCAGTGTTGTATATTTACTTTCTTGGTTTCTCTAAGCTATTTTTTTTTTAAAGATTTTATTTATTAGAGATAGAGAATGAGTGCGAGCTAGCTCACAAGTAGGCAGAGAGGCAGGCAGAGAAGAGAGGGGGAAGCAGGCTCCCCGATGAGCAGAGAGCCCAGTGCGGGGCTCGATCCCAGGACCCTGAGATCATGACCTGAGCTGAAGGGAGAGGCTTATCCCACTGAGCCACCCAGGCGCCCCTCTAAGCTATTTTGATAAGCTTAGCAAACAAGTGACTTTCAGTCAAGATACTAGATATATGAAAGCCTGTTTTCTGTAAAATAACATCTACCTCAGTGGAGCTATTCTGAAAATTAATGATAATATTAGTAGAGTACTTAATAAGCCATATCACTGTTAGAGAAAACAAAATGAGATGTTACAAATCTATGAAATTCATTTATTCCACTTCTCCGAATAATGCCTGCCTACTCTGTGCCAGGAAGCAGGCTGAGTGTTGGAGTAAATATGCAGACGTGCTATGGATCAAGCCCTCAGGGGGCGTACAGGTCAGTGTTGGAGCAGCCATTTAAATGGGCTGAGAAAGTCAGTGCCTTCTAGGTTTTACAGGCACCTTGCGTGGTGTGGGGTGCTGAGTGAGCACTGGGTGTGGTGGGTGGATTCTGTCCTAAGGGAAGGAGGTGCCATTCTTACTAATTCAAGAGTTAGGGGGCACCTGGCTGGCTCAGTTGAAGGAACATGTGACTCTTGATCTTCGGGTTGTGAGTTTGTGCCCCACATTGGGTAGGGAAATTACGTAAAAATAAATAAATAAGGGGCCCAGGTGGTTCAGTCAGTGAAGCATCCTGACTCTTGATCTCAGGGTCATGAGTTCAGGCCCCACATTGAACTCCATGCTGGGCATGGAGCCCGCTTCAAGAAATAAATAAATAAAAATTAAAAGTTAGCCTCGCCTGGTGGCTCGCTCAGTTAAACGTCTGCCTTCTGCTCAGGTCATGATCTCAGGGTCCTGGGATCGAGCCCCTATCAGGCTCCATGCTCAGCAGAGAACCTGCCTCTCCCTCTCCCTCCCCCTTTGCTTATATGCATGCTCTCTCTGTGAAATGAACAAATTAAATCTTTAAATAAAATAAAAATTTCAGGTGAGCTCTTAAATAAAAAATAGAACGTTAATAAACTTTCCTGTTAGATGATACAGATTCATTGCCAACATTATATAAATGGCTCTCAACTTATAAATTCCAGAGTTGTTCTTTGTGGTGCATAGACTACTACTGCTGCTCTGATCTGAGATGCTAATGTTTTGCAACCATGATCTAAAAATTTACAGTCGGCTCCATCTCAGGAGTGTGCTAGAACTAAAAGCAGAGAGTCATGGTTTCAGATAAGTATAGACACTAATCACAAGTTTGCTTCATCTGACACTTTGGAGGTGACTCTGATGCTAGTTAAAGAGAACTGGTAGAGGACCCTGTATTGGATCTTAATCTTTAATAAAACTAGATGAGAGGGGGGAGAAGGCAGCCTCTATAAATAAAACTTCATTTGCAGTTTTTACTGTTATTTGTAATAATTCACACATTGTTAGTAAGTGGAAAGTTTTACTTTGTTTACTTATACTTACTATTTTTTTTTTTTAAGTAAACTCTCCACCTGCTATGGAGCTCGAACTCGCTACCCCAAGATTGAGTCTCATGCTCTACTGACTGAGCAGCCAGGCACCCTTAAATAGAAAGTTTTAAATAATTTAACAGCTACAAGGCATGTAAGGTTAGATTAAAATGTATATAATTCTTCAAAGTGTTTTTATTACATTCTTGTATTACACGTCAGGTTCTTACTAATTCTTAATTAATAGAAAAAAATTGGCCTTGTTTAATTAGTGATTTGGAAACTTACTTGGAGTGAGTTCCCCAGTATCATACCTGGTTTTTGTCCTTTCCTGGTGACCTTTAGGGTTTTCACTTGCTACAACTTGACAATATGTTTTCCTAAGTATTCATTCTTTATCATCCCTCTAGGTTAGATAGGACCAAGACCAAAACAAGGATTTTCTAAGAAGACCTCCCACATGATCAAGGAAAGTTTGTCAAACATAGTAGGCTGATGGCACTTGGTCTTTGAGTCTTAAGATAAAGTGCAGACTAGAGGTTCAGGATTGGGATGATCATAGAACCTTTTCCAGAAGAGCTCTACCAAAAACACAGAACTCCCACCTTTCCTTGGTAAACTACTGTGAAAATTAAAATATGTAGCCCCTGGTCTAGGCCCCATAAAGCCCATTAGCCACTGACTCTGCACCAGAAACTCACTGAAACAACTGTCCTGAAAATAAATAAGAATGTTTCTTAGCTAGGTTCCTAATGGCCTGAGGTCTTTCAAAGCAGCATCTGTAATTCCTGAAAAAGCCAAGTTACATTTATGAGAGTCCAAAAATTACATAAATCTGGATCCAAAAGATACACTGTAGCCTGAGAGAGTGTGTGTTCAGTCTGAGCTTCTCCCTAACTGTGATCAGTGCATGGAGAGTGTGTGACACACATCACTCAAGGGGCTGTCAGGAGTGGCATGGTTGAGGTGTCTGACAAGATGCAGGGTCACCTGCTTCATCCAGGGGACATCAAGAATGGGGCAGGCAAAACAAACGACTGGAGTAGGAAATGCGCAGGAGTGCTGGTGTCCCGGAGAGTCGGAGGAGACTGGTGGGTATGGAGTTGGCAGACAGATTCAGTGGCTCCTTGTGCTGGTTCCAAGGCAGGAGAGTAAAGCACCTGGACGTGCGATTGAGCCTCAGCTCGCTGGACTTGGTCGTGATGGAACTGCTAGAAGCGCTAGCTGCCTAGGCATTGCTGTTCCGGTGGTGGTGGAGTGCCCAGTCGCAACCAGAGGCAGGCATCTGTTGTAGAACTAGTTGATATTAAACAGACATATGTATTGGATATCTCAGTATTGGTTGAAATGTGTTGTTCCTGAAGGTTTTTCTGGAAACACGTATGTTCGTTGTGAATTCTGGACTTGGGAGAGCAGCGCTGGGGGCAGGTGAAGCAGGCGGGTGTGCCGGGAGAAAGGGGGCTCAGAGGAGCTCAGCCCGGGTGCCTGGCTCTGGCACAGGCTGAACTTCGGGCGACTTGCTGTTTGCGTGAAGAGCAGGGGGCACAGTCGTGTGTGTTTGCTCCCCGGGAAAGAGCGTGGCTGTAAGAGTAAGAGGTGACCCTGCGTTGAAGGGTGTGGACGGAGGCAAGGACACTCACGGGCGCAGATGCAGAATGGGTTAAAGCCTTTCCTTTCGCTGGCGCCTTCCGAAGTCGGCCAGAGGGAGCCCTCTGGGGCCGGCCTTGGGTTCTCCTATTGCAGTGGTGGTGGGAGGGAGGAGGCGGGGGCGCGGCCCCGCTCGCCTCCTGGGCAGCCTTTCCTCCAATCACGGGCCGACAGCCCTCACCGAGCACACCCCCTCCCGACTCTGCAGCAGGACGGCTGGGCCCTCTGCCTGGCTCGCTCACTCGAGCTCAGCTCCCCCTCCTGCCATCTTCCGTTGCAAAGCATTTCTGGGAGCTGCATGTGGGTGACGCAGCAGCATTGTTCGCAGGCACAGGAAGCCGCGGCTGAGCTGAAGGGCTCGAGAAGGAGCTCAGAACACGACACGCTGCTCCCTCTGGGTAGCCTGAAGGGTTATAACCGGACTGCCCTGCCTGATGTACTTTGGGAGATTCCAGAATTTTCAAGTAAATTGGTATTTTCCTAGAGGGAGAAAACCTAACTCCTTCAGCACAACTTCCAATACAGAAAACAAAACAAAGACGCTGGGAAAACTTCAACCAAGAGCCTCGGCAGTTCCAGAGCGACGAGAAACGCAAGGTCAGGCGGGCGGGCGGCGAACCCTTTCTGACTCGGGGTGTGTGTAACTGTAGGGACTTTGTCTCGCCGGAGAGGCAGAAGAACAGCCTGCCGGGCGGGTCCAGGACAATGCTCAGGTTACTTAGTGTTGCGTGAGCCGGTGAGCCGTCGTCGCACTTGTTCCCTGTCCTGGTGGGCTCTGCTTTTGAATTGGGTCGCTTGGCTTTTGGGAATCCTTTTCCCTTCTCTGCCCAGACGCCCGCTGTTCTCTTCCCCTTCCTGTGATGTGTGGGGTGTGGGCTTGTGTTTGAATGTTCTCCCGAATGCCAGGAGCCTAGATAGGCGTCAGCCTTTCCGCACTCCACCCCCGCTCTCCGCTCCCCGTCCCAAACCCCCTCTGGTGAAGGGTGGTGGCTTCTTTATATGGTTTCTTAGAGGGCCTCATCTGGAGTCTGCCTTTTTTGATGAGCAGGGTGAGCTTGGTTGTATGGCCCCAACAAAATAAGGGTTGGAAGGAAATCTGCATTTCCCTCCACACCCACACGGACCCCGGCAAGTGAGCGGTATGTGCGAGAACAGCTGCCCCCCTCCACCCCCACGCAGAGGCAGTTTCTCCACCTACCTTTCCCTGTCCCCCACACAAAAAACCGTGCAGGTAGAAGTAGACTGCTTTTGGTGAGCAGTTAGGTTCCTTTCCTCCTCAGACAATCGCAGATCTTTCTGTGCGGTCTGTTTTGCTGAAAGTGGAAAGTCCCTGTTTGTGGACAGCTCAGTGCTCTCCGGCAGAGGAAATGGGCAGAGTCCTACTCCTCGGCAGTGTGACCTGGGGGAGGGGAGCTGTGCACTCCCTCGCACACACGTTGAATGGACCTGAATTTTTCACCCTAGGGAGATTAGGAGCCCATACCAGAGCCTAGTCCCACGTGGCACCGCACCCCGCCTCTTCAGCCCACGCTGGGTGGTGTTAAACAGGAGGCTTCAGAATAGGATGCCATAGCAACTTGAAGTAAATAAAACGTCTGCAAATGAAATCAGTTTGGGGGAGGGTGAGAGGCATCTGGAGACTTGGCAAAGGGGATCTTCGTGGGGGAGCTTCCTGGGTGTGAGTTTTTAAGGGTCTTTCTGAGTCCCAACTCTGGGATTTGGATCATGATCCTTAGGTTAGGATGAAAATGCTTGGTAGAGAAGTGCTTCATGCCTCAAAAAGCCCTGGTCTTCTAGGCCGAGCCTGCAGGAATATGGAAATGATCATTAAAGATGGCCCAGGCACGCTCCCGGTCCTGGATCAAAGTTTAGTTGTTGAAACAGTTAATACACGAGGGAGGGCAACCTGAAAGGAATCTGGTAACTTGTCTTCTGGATTTGTGGGGTTTTTGCTGTTACCTTTGCATTAGGGCTTATGAGGTCAGGGAAAGAGGGATTTCACTCTGCTAGAAGGTCTGGGATTCAGAAGTTTCTGTCTAAAACATAAAGACTTGTTTCCAAGTAACAGTCAACCAGTATGAATCACTTCAGCGGCAGTTTCTTACTGTCGCATTGTCTTCAAGTCAAAACTGTTGTCCCTAAGATTGTTCCTGCTCCGTTTACAAGAATAAAGCCAAATACTTGACTTTATGTGTGAGAGAGAGAGAGATTGATCAATTGATTGGTTGATTTGAAGTTGAGATTTCTGTAATCAGCTTTAGAAGAACAGAGCTCTGGGTTGAATTAAGACATTAAGACTCTGCGTTTCATATTAATTAATCCAGTATTAGCCAGTCTTTTTTGCCACTTTGCTGAGATCTACAAAATGAAGGCAGTACTTACTTCTTGATAATATTCATTGACTGGTATTGAGAAGTAAAGGGGCAGTATAGAGTTGTACTGCCATATATAGAACTGTATGACAAGTAACACTTGTTGCCACGTAGCTAGCTACTTCAGTGTACATACCAGCGGTACAGTGAGTATGCGAGTTTCGGGTTGGGAGCAAAGGTAAATTCAAAGTCTTGATAGTACTACACTAGTCGGAGTTTTCTCTTTCATCTTCAGTTTGTTTTACAGCGAGTCTCTATTAAACGACGGGAAAACACAGTTGCCAGCCTGCCCTTCCCATGTTGGTTTTAGGGACCGGGGCTAAGTCTTGATGCTGCTGGAGTCGTTGGCTCTTTGTTCACTGTGCCCTGCTTTTCCTCCCCCTCTTCTATCCTGTCCCACCCTCAGATTTTGCTGGAGGAGCTTGCCAACAGCGATCCCAAGTTAGCCCTCACCGGAGTCCCTATAGTGCAGTGGCCAAAAAGGGATAAGGTAAGGAACTGTTCTTGATCTTCAGGCTGCTGGAGCATTTTGCTGGCTGATCATCACCGTTCCAGGAAGAAAAAGCACAACTACAGGCAGACAGCTTTTGGCACATTAAAATAAACTGACAGAAAATCATTACTCTGTTCTGTTTTAACTCTTAGGTCAGGATAATTGGCTGTCTTTGGAGGTGACTCTCTTAACAAAACTATCAAACTAGGAACCTGCCTCCAGGTTTAGATCCAAAAATTGTGCATTTATTCACCAGAATGGATTTGTTCCTATCCTTCTGGCCCAGTGATTCAGTTATTTTCACAGATATTTTTTAAAACTAGCCAAAAGAATTATATATATTTAAATGGCCGGAATATTTCAATGATGGAGTGAGTGCACACACTCAGGAAACCCCTTAATTTGGATTTTTCAGTATCAAATTGAAAAAAGAAGGAAAGGAATGACCTGTTAGCTAATAAATTGTCGTTTATGAGTTTTCGTTAGATTGTGTATGATTTTTTTCCTGTATTGTCCTTTGTCATGGTTATTTATTAAATAAAAATAAGAGCTAGCATTCTGATCTTTGCCGTGAGTTTGGCAAATACGTAGGCCCTTCCTTGGTGTCCCCAGTTGAAATTTGCGGAGCTGTCACATTCTAGGAATGTTTAGGTGTATAGCTGTGAAAGATGTCTTAAAAGAACCACTTTCTAGGTGAAGTCCCACCTAGCCGATGCTTGACCACATGAAACTGCCTCAAAACAGTTCAGTCATTTCTCGCTGTTGTATGTTTTGTGTCAGAAACATGTTTAAGGTACCCTGGAAATTTGAAGAACTAAAAGACCCAGTCCTTGTTCTTGAAAAGATCACCAGGACAAAGACAAGTAATAAGATTATAAACGTATACCTAAGAAATATATTCTATACCTAAGGGCTACTGGAGTGTGTGTTATGTACCAGATTGAGAATAATAAAGAAATGAGCAAGATCCGTCTCACCCTCAAGTAGTTTACGGTCTTCTTTATGAGTATCTTCTGAGTAGGAGTATTCAGGACAAGGAAATATCAGAGGGCCCCTGGATGGCTTTGGTACAGGGAGTGGGGGGATGTCACAGCTCAGCAGAGTGAGACGGATGTGGGTGAGGTAAAAAGACTGACGAGATTGGCAAACCTTTTCTATACAGGTAATACACAGATGACAAATATAATAAAGGCAATAAATATTTTTGGTTTTGCAGGCCATACAGTCTCTGTGGCAACTTCTCAACTCTGCAGTTGCACGTGAAAGCAGCCATAGACAATACGTAAACAGATGAGCGTCACTGTGTTCTGGTCACATTTCATTTACAAAAACGGGCAGTGGGCCGATTTGCTCATGGGCCATAGTTTGCCAAGCTGCATTATCTTCCACCTTCTCCAGTCCTCAGAGTTACTTGATATATTTGACCTCGCTGCTTTCTCTTTCCAGCTTAAATTCCCCGCCCGGCCAAAGGTGCGGGTTCCTACCATCCCCATCACAAAGCCTCACACCATGAAACCGGCTCCTCGGTTAACACCTGTGAGGCCAGCTGCCGCCTCCCCCATAGTGTCAGGAGCCAGGCGGAGACGAGTGCGCTGTCGGAAGTGCAAAGCGTGTGTGCAAGGAGAGTGTGGTGTTTGCCACTACTGCAGGGACATGAAGAAGTTTGGGGGGCCTGGTCGCATGAAGCAGTCCTGTGTTCTTCGGCAGTGCTTGGCAGTAAGTGGCCTGCTGGGTAAAGAACTTGGGGGAGGGAGAAGACAGGTGGTGCCAAAGGGACTGAAGTACAGGTAGTGAGAGTTCTAGAGACTTCGGAGATGGAAAGAAGTTTCTGTCTCTTTTGGCTTGCTTTGTTTGTCCGTTTTCTCTCTGGGCTCAGAAATGATCCTGTTTAATTTTTCGTCCTTGCTTGCCCAGTTTCCAACTAAGAAAGCAGTATGGCAAGGACAAGTCACTGCCGTCGGTCCCTCTTTGCGTGGATTAGGAAGGAGGGCCTGTGAGGCCTGGGACTGACTGGTGAGAGTGAACTGGTCTTTGTTTCCAGTTTCCAGCTGGTTTGTTCTCCCTGTCTTCCTCCACTGGTTACCTTACCAGAAACCGCTCTTTGCCCAGTTTCCACGCTCCCTGAGAATTACAGGAAGCAAATCACCCATCTTGAGTTAAAGGGAAGCTGAACTGATAAGCATCTAAGTCTGCTCTTTTCTTGGTTTCTTTGTCCTCTTGTAGCCCAGACTGCCTCACTCCGTCACGTGTTCCCTCTGTGGAGAGGTGGATCAAAATGAGGAGACACAGGACTTCGAGAAGAAACTCATGGAATGCTGTATCTGCAATGAGATTGTTCATCCTGGCTGCCTCCAGGTGAGGAGAGGCCTCAGGGGCCCCTGAGGCCTCAGCTGGTAGGATGTCTGAAGGCACTGGGTGGAGCAGGGAGTGGGAATCTGTCACAAGAGGCCACCAGCGTCCCTAATAGGGACCGTCAGCTGTGGGTCATGTCATAGTCTAACATCGTTGATTCGGATGCCTGGTTTGTGTGTCAGCCGCTGTGTTAGACCCTGAGGATAGCCCAGGACAAAATAATAGTTCAGTTCCTGTCCTCCTGGAGCTTGCAGTCTGGCCTCCAAAGAGTGTATTTGGAGTCGCCAGGCCATGGCGGTACTGCTTGGTCTATTTCGGAATGCCTTGTGCCTTTAAGCATCTGTGCTCTGTACTTCAGTGTATCTCTGGATATGAGTTCCTGAAAGATGTTGAGAGTGATGGTATCAGCTAATGTTTAATGAGTGCTTATGCTCTATCACGCTTTGTATGCACATGAGGGCCTCTAAGAAAGTAATAGGGAAGTTGATGCAGTTTTTTAAGAGGTCATGTCCTTGGGGCGCCTGGATGGCTCAGTGGGTTAAAGCTTCTGCCTCCGGCTCAGGTCATGATTCCAGAGTCCTGGGACCGAGCCCCACATTGGGCTCCCTGCTCAGCAGGGAGCCTGCTTCCTCCTCTCTCTCTCTGCCTGCCTGTCTGCCTACTTGTGATCTCTAGCTATCAAATAAATAAATAAAATCTTAAAAAAAAAAAAAAAAAGAGGGCATGTCCACTCTTCAGGCAGGGACCCTGGGCCTAAGTGTGTGCAGAAGCTCCTTAAATGATACTAATGTGTAGCTGGGTCAGAGAACCACTGATTGATTGATTCACTGATTGATTCTGAGAGGGAGGAGGGGAAGGGCAGAGGGAAAGCAGGCTCCACTACCAGCTCCAAGCCTAATGCAGGGCTCTGTCTCACAGCCCTGTGATCCTGACCCAAGCCGGAATCCAGAGTTGACCCTTAACCAGCTGAGCCACCCAGGCACCTGGGGAACCACTGTTTTACATGCGTTCTCTTGTTTACATCTTCTTCTAAATTTTTTTTTTTTTTAAAGATCTATTTATTTGAGAGCGAAAACACATGAGTAGAGGAAGGGATGGGGAGAGACAATCTCAAGCAGATTCCTGCTGAGCACGGAGCCCAATGTGAGGCTCGATCCCACGACCCTGAGATCATGACCTGAGCTGAAACCAAGAGTCACACACTTAACTGACTAAGCCACTCAGGCACCCCTCTTGTTTACGTCTTGAAGACAGCCCTGTGAAGTCAGGTCTACCCTATTACTTCATATTTCTTTCAATCTAAAGGGCATTGGTACTGGTATTTAGTTGATTTCTCCAAGGGTGACAACTGTATCATGACTGCCACCTGGCTGACAATGATTGTAAGATACTGTTAATTGTGAGACGCAGCCCAATTTTTGAAATAGTCAGATGTGAAAAAATATGCATCTTAGGATCAGTAAGATAGGGTATCATCTCCATGTCGATAAAGTATTTACTATACGCTAAGCATTTTCCTAAACACTTAACGGGTAATTCATTTACTCCTCACTACAACCCCATAAGATAGGAGTTGTTATTTATCCCCACTTTATAGTTGAGAGCACAGTGTCACAGAGACTAGGCCACTGGTGTCAGAACCCAAGCAGTCATAATTATTGTGCCCCACTATCAAGATAAGGTCTGGCACCTTCTGAATTGTGTGGTCAGTTCCTTCCGCAGAGTGGCAGGAAACTTTCAAGAAAATGAATGTGTCAGGAGAGATGAATATATACATGTGTATGTCAGGAGAGAGACCCCACATTGACCCAGACTCTTGGGAATCTCCACAAACACCGACGTGTTTATGAATAGGTAACTTCCACGTTCTTCCCAACCATGTGGCTGTTACTGTATGATACAGGAGCCTTAAGAAACAGGCCGGGGTGGGGGTGCCTGGGTGGCTCAGTCAGTTAAGCCTCTGCCTTCAGCTCAGGTCATGATCCCAGGGTCCTGGGATCGAGCCCCGCATCGGGCTCTCTGCTCAGCGGGAAACCTGCTGCTCCCCCTGCTTGTGCTGTCTTCCTCTTTCTCTCTCTCAATAAATAAAATCTTTAAAAAAAAGAAAAGAGGCTGGGGTTTCTTATATTTTGTTTTTTTGTTTGTTTGTTTGCTTCTAATGTGCTAAGATTTTTAACATCCCTGTCTTACTCTAGATGGATGGAGAAGGGCTGCTTAACGAGGAATTGCCAAATTGCTGGGAGTGTCCAAAGTGCTACCAGGAGGACAGCTCAGAGAAAGCGCAGGTAGGGGAGCTTTTTCCAGACGGCACTGGAGAAGAAAGGAAATGCCAGGCTTGAAGGATGGCTAGAATACATTTGCCTTTGCGACTTTATTCACATAGTTTTTCTGACCCACAGAGATTATTTTGTATTGTGTCTTTTTTTTTCACCTTTGCTTAATTATTTTTTCTTTTGTTTTGAATTTTTAATGTTTGGGTTTTTTGTATTACTGAATACTGTTCCACTTGGGGTCTGCAAATCGCTGAGGTCTTTTTACACTCTGGGACCCTAGGCGGCACAGACAGCTGAGTTATTTGAGGAGGGCGGTGAGGCGAGCACGGTTGCTCCTGAGGAATGAAACTAAAGGGAAGGCAGTGACCTGAGGCAGTGGGTAAGTACAGTGGTGTGCTGGAGTTTCCAGTTAAGCAGGCTCACATTTTTGTCCTCTTCACCTTTGTGGCCTTGCAGAAAGCCCTGCCCTTGTGCCCAAACATGTCCCACAGAGGTAGCCCCTCCCTGCAGGGGGACCAGTGCCATGACCTTGGCCCTGAGTAGTCGAGGTTGCTGGCCCGATGGGTAATGCTAAAGGGCCAGAAGGACTCTGGTTACTCAGACCAGCAAGAACAAGACCTGTTGAAGGCACACCTAGAGGAGGCAGCTGGCCTGGTGGCAGCCATCCAGCCCCTAGTGGTCCCCTCATGGGCCCATTGCACAGGAGCAAAGACAAATTTCCTTGTCGTCTTTCTGTTTCTTCCCACTTGGGCACTGAAGTAGTTGAATTTCAGTCTATCAGTTGTGGGGATGTAGAGTTGACTAGTCCTGAAGTTCTCCTTACCTCAGGTTCTTATACTGGACGCTTCTACATTTTTTGTCCTCGCTGGCAGCACCGTGGTGGTGGGCGTTTGCCTCCCTTCTATAACAGGTGGGCCGGCAGGTTCTGGGTTCTAGTGTTACCTTCCTGCATTGTCAACGCCAGCACCCAGGAGGTGGTCGTTCTCTCCAGCCATAGTGCTCTAAGTACAGAGCAAAGGGAGCGGGGCTTGTTGCTGAGGGACAGAAACGGTCTCCGTGAGGAAAATACGAACACTGCTCTCTGATCCCTAGTGGAACACTGGTTTGGCGTCATCACGGCAGAGTCACGGGTGGGCGCCAGGAAGAGACAGGTGCCCTGGGACGAGGTGTTGGCCTGTGTGGAGCACTGGCTTCACTGAACCCCAGTTCCTCCTCTTCGTCTGGCGCACACGCCTCTGGAGCAGTGCAGTTGCTCACAGAGGTTCTCGCGCTCTGCGTTGTCTTCCGTGGGGTTGGTCTCTAGTGATAGGCTGGGGTGTGGAGGGGAGGAAGCAGCCTGGTAGAGTCTGGCTCAGACGCTGGAGCTAAACGTGGTGCTTACTGCTGTGAGATCCGTGTCCTAGTTCAACGGTTTCTGTGGGCTGCTTTTCTTCTACCACAAGCATCTACCATCAGACGCCTCTCCAGGGTGAAGGAGCTAAATTAGAGACAGAATTAAAAATGGTCAGACTGTGGGGGCGCCTGGGTGGCTCAGTGGGTTGAGCCTCTGCCTTCGGCTCAGGTCACGATCTCAGGGACCTGGGATCGAGCCCCATGTCAGGCTCTCTGCTCATTGGGGAGCGTTCTTCCCTCTCTCTCTCTCTGCCTGCCTCTGCCTACTTGTGATCTCTGTCTGTCAAATAAATAAATAAAGTCTTTTAAAAAAAAAAAAATGGTCAGATTGCATAGGGGTAAAGTTGTGGCCTCTTTAAAGGATATCTTTATCCAGGGAATTATAATCCCAAAATTGGGGGCAAGAGATGCATAAGGTGGGCTGTGGAATCATGCAGCCCAAATTTGGATCTCACTCCTCTATACTTGGATGCAAACCTTTGTGTCACAGGTAGATTTCCCAAGTGACCTATTTTAAGGGTTTGTTCTGTAATCAGCTTTCTCCAGCACAGGCTTGGGCCCGGTTGCTGATGTGGCGGATTGCAGACTCTGAGGAGGTGACCACCCTGTAGCCTGCAGCTACCCCTTTCCCCGTAGAAGAGCAGTGATCTGTCTTCTTTCTAGTCTCCTGAGAGCAACAGTGAGGCTCACTGCAAATTTAGAGGGTTTTGGAGGAAGGTACTGATGGGGCTTTTTGGGGGCGTGTTTTGCAGAAGCGGAAAATGGAAGAGAGTGACGACGAAGCCGTGCAAGCCAAAGTCCTGCGGCCCCTGCGGAGCTGCGACGAGCCCCTCACGCCCCCGCCTCACTCACCCACCTCCATGCTGCAGCTCATCCATGACCCGGTCTCCCCCCGGGGTATGGTGACTCGGTCATCCCCTGGGGCTGGCCCCAGCGACCACCACAGTGCCAGCCGCGATGAGCGCTTCAAACGGCGGCAGTTGCTGCGGCTACAGGCCACAGAGCGCACCATGGTACGGGAAAAGGAGAACAATCCCAGCGGCAAAAAGGAGCTGTCTGAAGTTGAGAAAGCCAAGATCCGGGGATCGTACCTCACTGTCACGCTGCAGAGGCCCACCAAAGAGCTCCACGGGACATCCATTGTGCCCAAGCTGCAGGCCATCACGGCCTCCTCTGCCAACCTTCGCCATTCCCCCCGTGTGCTAGTGCAGCACTGCCCAGCCCGAACCCCCCAGCGTGGGGATGAGGAGGGGCTGGGGGGAGAGGAGGAGGAAGAGGAGGAGGAGGAGGAGGAAGATGACAGTGCAGAGGAGGGGGGTGCAGCCAGGCTGAATGGCCGGGGCAGTTGGGCTCAGGATGGAGACGAAAGCTGGATGCAGCGGGAGGTCTGGATGTCTGTCTTCCGCTACCTCAGCCGCAGAGAACTTTGTGAATGTATGCGAGTGTGCAAGACGTGGTATAAATGGTGAGCAGGGATACAGGGATCAGGAATAGGGGTATGGGAGTAGGTGGCAGATTTTCCATATGAGAACTGCATGCGCCTTGGCATCTGGAGGCTTGCTGGGTCCCCAAGGATTGAATCCGTTCAGTCCGCTCCCTAGACAGCGGGTCCTGTTAAAGATGTGGCTCTTTGTGCCTACACGTGTCCTCGGGGAAATTTGGCCCTTTGCTTCCTCTCCCTGCTCTGTACTTTCCCGTTTCTCTCTCCGGGGTGTATGAAACTGATTTGGGGGATGGATTTATACAGTTTGTGTAAAGCCTTTAGTCATCAGTTTTCCCCCCTTAAGTAACCTGTACTCAGCACGCGTGTGCTGAGAGCCTGTGCTGTGTCGCACTCCTGTTGCTGCTGACACAGGTGACTGCTCTCGAGCCCCTGCCTCCGTTTCCTCTCCATCTACTGAAAGAGGTGGACATGCTTTTCAAAAAACGCGAATGTTTTCACAGTTTTCCAGGTTTTGTTCTTATCTCCCAAGTCTGGACCCTAGTTCCTTTCTTCAGGAAGCAGAGTCGCATTTTGAGCTTCCTGAGACTTACTCATCCTTCCTAATGAGACGTGCCATTTCTTCTCAAGCTCAGCAGTGAGATACTTCGCGGGGAGAAAAAGTCCCTCGAGATGATGAACAGACGTTTCCATAGGGCATTATTTTTCCTTTTGCTCCTAGACCCTAGGATGTAACATATCCTTTGTATCTGGGCCAAACCCAGTTACAGTAGTTTTCAAAATGTGACGCTCAGACTACTGGTGGGCCACTGGCATTGCCCGGGATCATGTTAGAAATGCAGATTCTCATGGCCTGTTTCAATACTTCTGAGTCAGAACCTTTGGGGGTGGGGCCAGGCCATCTGTTTTTTACACGTCTTCAGGGGCTTCTGATACACGTTAAAGTTTGAGACTCACTGCTCTATCATAAGCAGCTTTTTTTTACCATATAAGTCTCATGCGCCATTGGTGAAATATTTTCAGTCTTTAAATAAAGACCTCATTTTTTGCAAATGCGCGTTTATTTCCCAAATCTGAATTAATATGTGATCTACCCAAATTGTCCTAATATTTTCTCTTTGTAGGGCTAGCGGGCCTGCCTGGCTCTAACCCTCAGTTTCCAGACCAAGTCACATAAGACTCATCTTACGTGCTGTCTCCCCTTCCCCTGCTGACCAGACTCTGAGCCAGGCTTGGGGGCAGGGGCTGTAAAATATTAAACAGAAGCCTGCATGTTGCAGTGCTATTTATGGCCTGTGGACTGTAGATTGCAGTGGGAAGGCAGCCTTTCCCTTCCAGTTCTGATCTGGACTGGAGCAGAAAATAAAAAGGCAGCACTGAAGCAGAAATGCAAGGCAGGGAGAAGACTGTCCTGGCCTGATGATAAAGTCCGTCTTTCGGCCTCATACAGGGATGGGCTCTTTGTAGGGCTTAAGGCAGGATGGATTGTAGCTGTGCTGAGGAACAGCCTGCAGCCCGGGCAGCTGGGTATGACTGACAAGGGAGAAACTTGGAGTCAAGTCTAAGGCTTCGGGCAGTAAGAAGTCAAATTTTTTAATACGTCCTTCTACAAGCTTTGGTGGGAGCCATATTGTTTTAATGCAATTGAGGGGTTACAGTACTGTCTGTTGTGTGTTCCTAACAGTTGTGTTCTCAGCCCTTCCAGAGTAAATTGGTGAACTGGGTCAAGTTCACTGCTTAACCTGTATGGTTGCCGTAAAGGACAAGTCCTTTTCTCTGAAGCAAAAAAAAAAACAAGACCAAAACCAACAACAATTAATAAAAAACCCAGGGTGTGGTACCTGTCTGCTTATAGAAGAGCCTAACCAGGCAGGGTGGCTCTCCACGTGCTCTGCTTCTCCCAGAAGCCCGCAGCACACTTTGATGGGAGCTCCTCCGACCAGGGGTATTGGGTTGTTGACGGCCAGTTCTCTCTCTCTCTATCACAGGTGCTGCGACAAGAGACTTTGGACAAAAATTGACTTGAGTAGGTGTAAGGCTATTGTACCCCAGGCTCTCAGTGGCATCATCAAGAGGCAGCCAGTCAGCCTTGACCTCAGTTGGACCAACATCTCCAAGAAACAACTGACGTGGCTCGTCAACAGGCTGCCGGGTGAGCAGGCAGGGAAGGCTGGCTGTAGGCAGTGCTGCTTCCGATTGCTTTAGGGCGGAGCACCTGGTGGCTCAGTCAGTTGAGCATCTGCCTTGGGCTCAGGTCATGATCCTGGGGTCCTGGGATCAAGTCCCGCGTCAGGCTCCCTGCTCAGGGGAGGGCCTGCTTCTCCCTCTCTCTCTGCTTGTGCTATCGCTCTCTCTCTCTCTGTGTGTCTGTGTCTGTCTCTCTCTCTCTGTCAATAAATAAGTAAAATTTTGAAAAAGTAAATAAAATTGCTTTAGAGCAATATTGGGCAGCAGTCCCATGCCATTGTCATTTCCTGCTTGTTAACAGGGGTTTCACCCAGGGCCCCCTAACTGCCAGTCCCCAGGGCACCGCTCCAGGCTAGCTGGACTAGTCAGTCATCACCCTGGACGGCAAAGACCTTGGGTCTTCTTGGCAGAGCCACTGACAAGATTTGAGTATGTTACTGCCATGACTGGCCCCTTAGCATGCCTTCTCTCTTCAGCATTTTGGGGTCTTAGAAGATAGGAAGTCACTCACGCTCACTACATTACTCTGGTAGGAACTAAGCAATTGGTTTTACCACCAAAGCTAGGAAATGCAATAGAGTATCCGGTTGCATGTGTCTTTGTTCCCGTTGTAGGACTGAAAGACCTCCTCCTAGCAGGCTGCTCCTGGTCTGCAGTATCTGCCCTCAGCACCTCCAGCTGCCCCCTTCTCAGGACCCTTGATCTTCGGTGGGCAGTAGGAATCAAGGACCCTCAAATTCGGGACTTGCTGACTCCACCGGCTGATAAACCAGGTATGCTCTGGGCCTGACTTCTCTGTGTTCATCTTAGGGTAGCTTTGTCTTTTGACAGACTTTGCCTCAGAAACTAAGGAAGTGCCCAGAATGATGCTGTGGATGAGTACAGATGGAGGGCAGAGTGCCGGGCGGTGTGGACGCACAGGTTAGCTGTTCACAGCCGGCTACCTGCCTGCAGGCAAAGGAGGGGGACTCCGTCTGGGACGCAGATGGTGTAATCCTGAGGAAGTCTGGGAAGTCTTCATGGTTGAGGTGGGACGTTAGAAGCCGTTTGCATTATGGTCTAGAAAAGTGTGGGAGTGTGGAGAGGGGTGGAGCGTTCCACACATCCCTTTTTGCTGTGTGAGGCATAATCTAGCAGCTGGGAAGAACGAAAACGTGTCTGGTTTCCTAGAAACTGCCCCCACACCCCACTCACTCCCTGCAGGCAGGGCTGGGTGTGGGCAGTTCTGCTTAACCCCTGCGAGGAGGCCTGGCTCGGTAGTAGCTGAGGCTGCCCTCAGCGTTGGAGCCAGACTAGAGGTGAGAGTTTTGACCTAGGCGCCGGCCTTGCCTGTGCAGGTCAGGACAATCGCAGCAAGCTCCGGAACATGACTGACTTCCGGCTGGCAGGCCTTGACATCACGGATGCCACGCTTCGCCTCATCATTCGCCACATGCCCCTCCTCTCTCGATTAGACCTCAGTCACTGCAGCCACCTGACAGACCAGTCCTCCAACCTGCTCACCGCTGTCGGGTCTTCCACTCGCTACTCCCTCACGGAGCTCAACATGGCAGGTACGCCGCCGCGGCGTTTCAGGACGGGCAGGGCCGCCCGCCTCCGGAGGGGCTCAGGCCTCCCTGGAGCTTGACCAGCGAAACAGAGAACCTGGCTTTGTTTGAAGGGAATTAAGTTGTTTTCCTCATATCTGGACAAGGACACGGATTTCCCTCTCTTTTAACTGATCGGGGGATGGAGGCCTCAGGTCCTTGTCAGGTGCTTAAGGGCGTGGCCATTGCCGGCTGCAGTTTGGTCGGCCTTGGCCTTGCCGGGTGGGAGGCAGAAAGGGCTCGCTTCTCGTCTCTGAGCCGGTAGCTTATGAGACAGAGAGGGCTTTTGCTTAGCATTTGAAGGGAAAGAGCTGGGGAGCTGAGCGGCAGAGCAGGCTCCTGTGGCTGTGCGTGCACGGCATTGCCCTCGTGGTCCCTTTCCTCACAGGTTGCAATAAATTGACAGACCAGACCCTGATCTACCTACGGCGAATTGCCAACGTCACCTTGATCGACCTTCGAGGATGCAAGCAGATCACTCGAAAAGCCTGCGAGCACTTCATCTCAGACTTGTCCATCAACAGTCTCTACTGCCTGTCTGACGAGAAGCTGATACAGAAGATCAGCTAAAACACGCGCAGCCCAGACTGAGCAGGAAACCGATCTTCCCCTGACTCCCCAGCCAGGAGAGCCTCTCTCCCCGACCCTGCACGGGCTCTGAGGCCAGCGTCACACTCCCTCTCTGCTCTCCTGTCCCTTGAGCCCTTCCCCTACAGGCGGGGCAGAGAGGGGGCTAGACACCAGGCTTGCCTGCCTGCTCCTCTCCTCCTGAGGAGAAAGGAGTAGCAGACTGATCCGAATCCGAGGGGAGAGCACAGGCTGTATGCTGTCAAGGTGCCTGCTCGCTTGCTCACCTGCCTGTCTGCCCGCTTGTTCACCGGCCGGGAGGCCGGGCTCTCAGTTTGGGGTGTCTGTGCAACCGTCATCCGTGCTGGGCCCTGGAGCCCTTCTCCCCATTCATGGTCCCCAGCCGTGCCTGGTTCTGAGCAAATTTCCAGGGAAGAAAGCGGCCCTGTCTCCGTGGCCAGGTTCTCCTCGTGGTGTCCCGTGCGTGTCTCTCCTCCACCACACTCTCCCGGCTTATGCAGGAGGGGCCAGCAGCCCCAGGAAGGCCAGACCCGTGCAGATCATACTGGTGCTGTTGAGGTGTCTAAAACCTCTCATCCGTGTCCACGCTCTGCCCCTTCCTTTAGCTTGATCCTGTCCGATGCTCGTGGTAGTTCGCGTAATGAGGTCACACCCCCCCCCCCCCCCCGCACCAGACTTGCCCGCTAGTCTCTCTGAGGTCCTTGTTGCACTTACTGGGGTTGAAGCTCTTCAGAGGAGCTGGAACTGTGTACCCCAGGGACACCCCCGTTTTATTGCTTCCTTGGCAGATTCTGAGACAGGCACCACCTCCTTGTTCCCCTCTCTCTTTAGCCTCCCACTGCCCTTTCCACACGTTCCTCCTTCCTGCCTGGACAGGGCTTTCCCAGGATATGTGTCCTCAGAGGGAGCAGCCTATCTCCCCAAGCCGGGGAGAACAGAGAGCTTGGCTAGGTCCCCACCTGCCTCCCAGCAGGCTCCGGGCCTCCGCTGTGGTGTAGCCCCCAGAGCCCAGGCCTGTGTTTAGCCCCAGTGGCTCACTGATCCGGCACCTTGTGGCAGGGTGGGGGGGGGGTTCCTGCTTTGAAGCCAGTCACCTGCCCTCTGCCTGTAGCCGTGGAAGGGGGTGTGCATGTGCCTCTGTGTGTGTGGCTGAGTGTATTACACGTGTGTGTGGAGGGAGGGAGGGAGGGGAGCATGGTGTCTCCCCCTCCACCGCCCTGTGTCGAGCCCCATCAGCTGCCCCCTTTTACTTTGCATTGAACGGCCTGTCCAAAGATCCTCTCTCTAGGGCAGCAGAGAGCTTTTTGCACTTTAAAAAAAAAAAAAAGAAAAAAAAAAGGAAAGAAAGGTCGGAATTTCTTTTGGGTCAATATTTAAGTGTGTGAGGAGATGCTCAGTGGCAGCAGCCTGCGGCAGGAGCTTACACGTGACAGACGCGGATTTGCACTCTGCTCCCCATCTGTGAGGATAGCGATAGCACAACCCTGCCCTGCCTTCTCGTCCTCCAGCCCCCTCCTTCCTGGCCCCTTCCCTGCAGCCCAGTCTCAGGCTCTCCTCCTCCTGGAGCCCCGTGGGGGAGGGGAAGGAGCCCAGGCACCAGGGGTCTGAAGCGTGAGCCACCCCGAGGAGAGACGCCAACTGCACACTTGCCACTTCCAAAGCAATAGAGGCAGAGGGGCCCCCTCTTTGCCACCTAGCCCAGCTTTGACCCTGGCATAGACTGGCCTCCTAAGAGAAAACTGGGTCCTGGTAAGGGGTGGCATTGTGTCTGTTTCTTCCAATCTGCTGATTCTCTTGGCTGCACCTTAAAAGCAGCGGTCTGCTCTCGTGACCCTCTGCCCCTTCCGATGGTCTCCAGGCCCCAGTGACCTGGGGCTGAAACTTCGAGGAAATGCCAGTGACTTATTCCAGAGTGCCTCAGTTAGGGGGACTTCTCTGTAAAGAACCCTGGGTATTGAGCAAAAACCTTATTAATATTATTGTTAATGACCTATAATTGGAAGCTTCCTGCCTTTTTCTGGTTGCTCCTGTGGAAAGTACTGAAAAGATTGTTTCGTTTTGTTGTCTTTTTATAAAAGGGGAGGTGGAGAGACCCCTTCAGAGCAGGGATTGTGCCGGGAGAGTGCCTCTGACTTTGGGACATTTCATCCACAGAAATTTCCAAGCTGATGGTTTGGTTGGGGGTGGGGGGGGGTTGGTTTTTATTTTTGTTTTTGGTTTGGAAAAACAAGCATTTTTACCGCGCACGTAAATTGGTCAGCAGGAAAGGGAGCCCAGGAGTGGTGGCAGATGGACCTATGCCCTTGCTGGGTTGCCTTTTTCTCTAGGACTGTGAGGGGGGAAATGGTTTTTAGAGGTGAGGGTTGGTCTGCGTGGAGGAAAGAAATGTCTCTGGGGACAGAGGATCCCGGGAGTCCCATCGCATTTCCTGCAATCTGCTCTGAGATGTGGCCTTGCCAGGAGAGCCTGCCCTCCTCAGACCGCAGGGCCAGACACCCCGCCTCCATCTTTCCAAGCACCGGGGCGAAAAACCACAAAGGAAAGGAAGAAAATTTATATATATATAATATAAAATCACTTGGTGATTAAAAAAAATAACTGCTCCATAAATAAAACTCCTAAAGTCACTATGTTTAAAGGGTTTGGTTGTGTTTTTTGTTTGTTTGTTTTTTGGAGAAATACTGTAAATATATATTTTTTGTTGCTGATTTAGAGTCAATCTCCAATGTTGTGCTAAAAATTTTAAATTAAATGTAAGCATTAAGGGGGCAAGTCCTGCTATCTCAGTTGACACATGGGGGTTGTTTTGGGCCAGGGAAGGAGGAAAGCTTAGTTGGACTTCGGTTTTCTAAACGTTCTCCACTATTGGTTTTAGAAAGAGCAAGGACATCTTTCCTCTGACACATGAATGGGAGATATTTGTGTAATAAAATTTTTAAAAGACAAAAAAAGAAACAGCCTCCGATGGGAAATACTTTGATTTGGGTTTTTTGGGATTTGGGTGTTTTTCTTTTTTTCTTTTTCTTTCTTTCTTTCTTTCTTTTTTTTTTTTTTTTAATAAAAAGACTTTAAAAACTAAAGAACAAAACCTTTTCTGCGTTGGGGTGTGTGTGTGTGTGTGTGTGTGCCTGAGTGTCAGAAGGTCATGGAGGCTCTGGTGCTAGAGACCAAGGTCAAGGGTTGCCTGTTTGATCCTCGGAGGAGAAGCAGCAGAACCATCACGGGCCTGTACTACTTGCCCTTCCTTTTTTTTTTAATGTCAAAAAACATTACTTGCTTTTAGAAACACCATGCTAGTTTACTTCATCACGGCGAACATTGTAATGAATGTGCAAATGTGATGACCTGATTCCCTGTAGTCCCCGCCCCCCCCTCCCATGGTGCTGTGCTGAGAAGGCCTGGGAATTTCTAATCTTACCATCCCTGGAGATCCAAGGCCAACCAGCCTCCACCCGCTAAAGCTGCAGAGCCGACCCATTGATAGTGCCTGCTCAAGGTCACTGAGCAAGGTCTGCACCAGACAGGCTCCAGTCAGTACTGGTCCCACCACATCTTGCTGCTTCTCATCACTTGGCTTGTTGAGTACAAGCCTGCAGCCTTTAGATCAGTGTGCTGGGTGCTGCCAGCCGACTACCACCCCAGCCCTGATGGCAGCATATCCAGAGAGCCGCACTCACATCTGGGAGGTCTTGAGTTGGCTTCCACCACTACCTTCAAAGGAGTGGGGAATCCCTGCCCATCCTACTCCCCAAGCTCCAGCTCTGCACGTTCTAGAAAAGGACAAGGTCTTGGACAAGGAGTTAGTTGATTTCATGTTGCTTTCTTGAGGATGGATATGGATGTGGTGGTGGTCAGATGTTGCCAGGGAAGGAAGGAAGGATGTCAGGTTTGCAGCTTAACTGCCTCAGAAACCCATCTGCCTCTAGGTGGCTTCATCTCTGCCACCCTAATCAAAGCCACCATTGTCTGGAACTTTGAACACAGCAAGAGCCCTGAGTGCCTCCCGGCCTCCAGTCCAACCCCTGCCCACCATGCTGGCAGCCTGAACATTTTTCTTAGATTTGACTCCTTTGCTTAAAACCTATTGCTATGTTTCTCAGGACAAAGGCCTCAAGCTTCCTCACTCACCATTTGCCCCTCGGACTCCTCTTTACCCATACCTACCTTTTTTCAGTCCAACCCTTTCTGGGCCTTTGCTATTCCCTCTGCTGGTACACCTGCCTCAATTTATCTGTTACCTTCCTCTGGAAAGCCACCTCCCGCCCCGTTCTAGACTAGTCCTGTGCTCCCACAGTACCTTACTAGTTTTTAGGACGCGAAGGTCATCTCCCCAGCTAGCCGGGAAGCTCCATGAGGACAGAGATCAGCCTGTGTTGCTCCCCACATCATCTCCAGCAGCTGGTGCAGAGCCTGACACCTAACAGGTGATGCGCCCAGCAGTAGCTCAGATCCTCAGAGGCCCATCTGTTCCCAGTGCAGTCCGTCTCTTGCCACCCTCTCAAAACTCACATAGCCTTCAGCTATGAATTACTCTTCCTAAAGCACACTCAAAAATCTTAAGTAATCTGAGGCGCCTGGGTGGCTCAGTGGGTTAAAGCCTCTGCCTTCGGCTCGGGTCATGATCCCAGGGTCCTGGGCTTGCTCGGGTTAGGATATGCTACCCTCACTAAAACTATGAACGTTTTCCTTCAAACCTCTTCCTCCATTTCCCCTCCACCCAAAATGGATTAATTTGGACATTCTGTGCCTTTTGTTGGCATCAACAATGTAGTGAAAACAGCTGGTACCTGAGGTGCTGGGTGGGCAGGGAGTCTGCTTGTCCCTCTGCCCCTCCCCCCAACTCATGCTCTCTCTCAAATAAAATCTTAAAAAAAAAAGGAGGGGGCACCTGGGTGACTCAGTCGGTTAAGCCTCTGCCTTCGGCTCAGGTCATGATCTCAGGGTCCTGGGATCGAGCTCCGCATCAGGCTCTCTGCTCAGCAGGGAGCCTGCTTACCCCCCTCTCTCTGTCTCTCTCCCTGCCTCTCTGCCTACTTGTGATCTCTCTGTCAAATAAATAAAATCTTTAAAATAAAATAAAGGTGAAGAACTGAGTTATGGATACTGAGCAGCTAGCTGAAGTGTCCTGGCTATAATAAAACCAACCTTAAGGCTGGCCCGGGAGTCAGTCCTATCCACCTGGCTCCCTGGCTCTCGAGTGATGACATTTCATTCACACCCCAGACCAGGGAGCAGGTGCCTTCATTCTAGAGATGACAAAACCAAGGTTCCGAGAGGAAGCAAGGCTCTAGAGTCAGTGGCTGAGCTGGGCTGCATGCGAACACTAGGCCAGGGCCTACAGCCTTGACCCCAGCTCTCCCAAGCCCTTCTTGAGGGTGGGGCTCGCCTGAGCTAGCTCAACCTCCCACTTCATCAGTTCCAGGAGCGGTGGGATAAGGACATGGCCTTACAGGGCCCTGCACGCAGAAGGATCCCACACTCAGCGGAATGCTCTGCTATCGCCATCTTCAAATGCTCTTCTCTTTTTTTAAACAAGGAGCCCTGAGTTCATTTGCAGTCTATGTACATGCAGCTCTCGCCCTCCCTCCCAGGCCAGCTCTGTGCTAAGTGTCACTTGGGAGGCCAGCAGCAGAGCAGGCCTGGCACTTCCTGGCTGGAGA